CATCGAGGGTAGAGTAGGAGGTAAGGCTAGACAGGTAGACTGGGGACAGATACGGGGCAGTGAATGTCTTCTTTGAAGGCTGTTCTGCAGTGGAGAGAATAAGGAGTCACTGAAAGTTTTTAAGCAAGGGAGACCGGATCACATATCTTCAGTAAGAAGATGTCTATTATGGCACTTTATAAGAAAGACGGGCCGCAAAGAGGCCTGCGAGTGCGCTCATTTAATAATCCAAGTTAAAGGTACCAGTGACCTGAATTAGGGTAGGAAGGAAAGGAAGGCACAGAGAGAAGCAACATTTCAAAGCTACTGCATGTGTTACATGTCTGCTTTGCTCAGGAAAAAGAGTTGGATTGTAATTCTCAGATTTGCAAGTGGAGAATATATCCACTAAAGAATTTTTAAAAATTTTTTGCACTTATTTGAACTGGAAAACTAAAAAAGGCTGAACATGCTTTAACAGTGAATTTAATTGGTTCTGCAATTTCAGCAGAGCCTTTTCCCCCCAGCAATCGGGAGTGTGCTGAGTAATTGCTAGGAGATGGAGAAAGAGTATTGAAAAGTATCTTAGGAAAGAAATGCAACCTTCCCTTCTTTTCCATTGCTCATCTCTTTTCCAGGTGTCATGGTAAATAGCAGGTGTCTGGGTACCGTACAAGGAAGATCCTTCCACTTTTCCCCAATTATACTTTTACCCACCCTTATTCGATAACTCTACCCACCCCACCAACCCACAAACTCCACAAAAAAATCCAGTGAAAATTTAAGAGGAAAGACTTTCTAGAGTGTATAAGAATTTTCTCTTTACCTCTTCATTTCTCACTAAAACCAGGCCGGCATAGCCTGCAGAAAAAGGGAAAGAACCGGCATAGACCCATATAAAGGAACTGGATTCTCAAATAGCTTCGCGATAACTAACCCTAACTCCCCCTAAAAAAATCCTAAATAACTGCTTCCTCATTTTCAGGGGATAAATTCTACAGAGTTTCTCAAATAAACAAATTTGAACATCTGATCAGCTGCAGCTTCCTCTTTTCATTTTCCTGATTATTTTAGGAAACTTAACTGGGTGCTAATACTAACCTCTTTTCTGAGTAAGGGCAGGAGTAGGCAACAAAATAATCCTGAACCTACCAATTAGAAGAGTGTCTTGTGTAAAATCTAGCAATTCATGGTTTAGTTCACCTTATTTGGGGCACTGAAAGCACATTAAAAATAAAATAATGAGGATTTTTTCCTTCCATGACTCCCAGGGTGCTTCCTGGCACTCTTGTCAGCACAAATGATTAACCACGTCACTGGGGACAAGCAGCAGCAATGTGATTGTCAAAACTATGGATATTGGTAAATTGTGATTCACTGCCAAGTTGAGTGTGTGTGTGTGTGTGTGTGTGTGTGTGTCTTGAGAGGTGATCAATGTGAGAATCATCATCTTCAATGTTGTCCCTGACAGAAAATTAGCCAGAATTATTAACCTAAAGGCTTTTATATTTTATAAATCTCCAGAAACTAAGAAAAATATTCAGCAACTCATACTCCAGTCCTAAAATTCACAATCAAAGGTTCTTAACCTGGGGTCCATAGATTAGATTTGGGCCATCTGTAAATCCCCTGAAATTGCATGGAAAATTTTGTGTGATTTTACATTTTTTTGTAAAGGGGGTGGGCTGGTACCGGAAGATTCTTAAAGTGATCCTTGACCCCATAAAGGTTAAAAACTACTACCATTAAAGAAAAAAAGAAGAGAGGTGGGAGAGAGACAGATGTATGTGAAGTTGGTACAATGCACTTATCTGTTAACCTTCATATTTGTATTGAAAGTTAACAATAGTATGATCATATTCTTTTCAAAAGGCTCTGAGGTTTCAAACTGGTTTAGATTGCATTTTCAGAGCCCATAGTATTAACAAAAATGTAGGTGTTAATTAAATTCATGGAAACTTTAGAATAAATGTGTCAAAAAGTTATTTCTCTCATATAAATTTCTGATTATTTATGGTAAATCCTTTAGAAGTGCCTTCAATGAAATGGCTACATCACTTGCAGCAATATAATTTTGATTTGAAAGGAGCTATTTAAAAAGACAAAAGTAATAAAAATGAATTTTAATATTTTCAGTATACTATTGTTTTATCATTAAAAAAACCCCATATAATTCTAATACTAATTATTATGGAATACTATTCTCATGTAAGTAAAACTTTCAAGTGAAACCCAATTGTCATCCTGCTCCAAAAACCCTGCAAATCCTGCAAAGAGTTTAGAATGAAGATTCACTAATGTCCCTGTGTAATTAATTAGTACACATTTTTCTGTATATAGAGTGAACTCTTTTACCCTTTTCTGTTCATTCCTAATCTTTTTCATTTCTTATTCTTAATCCTAAAGAAACATTGGATTTATTTGCCTTGTAAATAAAAAACCCTATCATTCTTTAAGCTTGCTGTCAAAATTTAACTCAGCTTCAATTAAATATATAAATACGCAAAACTCTTCAGTCCCCAAATGTTTAGTTGACAATTTATAAAGGCAGATTATGACATAATTTTTAAGCTAAGCAAGAAAATGAATGTTTTACAAATTGTTATAACTTTGAATAAAAAGATATTTCTTTAAATGGCTAACTTAATATTACCATATTTTGAATCAAAATTACTGAGAATTGATAGACTTTCTTCTCTTATGAAATTATTTCTCCTCTCAATGCCTCTCAAAGCACATAAAAGCACACACTTACCCCATGGTGCTTGCTGTGGTTATATCATCCTTGGATCAAGGCTTATCTGGATTCTGAATTAACTTAAGGGTTATAAAAAGAAGCCGTAGAGAGGTTTGACTTCCCCAGAAACGAGACTGTCATATGCTAACTAGGCTTTTAAATGAGGAAAACTAGTGTCTCTTCTAATTATATAAGCTCCAGGTCAAATTCTAGCATCAACTAATCAAATAACTGAACTGTGTTTAGTTTCACAGAGTAAAAGAAAGAAAACTGTCCATAGGAGATCACTTTGGTATCTTAGAAAACTGGAAACTTGAGCATTGAAAAGTTATTTAATTATCAGTAAAGTTAAAGATTTTAAAAGCAAAGTATGTATCTTGCTACTTTAAATAATTCAAAAAATATTGGGGAAAATTTAATTTGCAGTAAAGCAGATATGTTTTATATTTTCCAGAAGTTCTGAATTTGCATTACATGTCCTGCTCCTGAAAAGCACCCTCTCACCTTATCTTACTCTGTCCAGTGTTTGTCTCCTTGTAAATTCCAGTATGATAATATTTAATTCTAAAAGAATATCAGTTAATGCTAAGCAACAAATCCAAAAAGGTCTAATTTTTAAACTGTATCTTTGAACACTAATAAACAGGGTATTTTGAAATTAAATAAAGCTATTATTATAAAAACTAACAAAATACCATTTTTATGTTAGTATTTTAAAATACATTTCAACACAGATCAATAGTAAAGATTTTTAAAAATTTTTTGGCAATGATATATTGAAAAATACAAATTTAGTAAGATTTTGAATGAAAAAAATATGATATAGACGTTATCTACTGCATGCACCATTTTTTTTTTTTTTGTCAGCTTTAGAATAATAGTTTCAGCAAAAACAGTCAGGTCTTTATTGGAGTTTTTAATGCATAGCTGCCATGTACTGTTTTGGTCATTGAAAAAATTTATGTAGAAGGTAAAGAGCTTTCTAGCCATAGACTATGTGAGAACACAAAGATCTACTTCAGAGAAAATTGAGATGTGATTCACATACCATAAGCAAAATTTGCCTTTTTAATGTGAACAATTCAGTGGTTTTTAGTATTCACAAGGTTGTGTAACCATCACCATTAATTCAAGGACGTGTTTCATCACTCAGAAACGAAACCCCACGCCTCCCAATTCCTCCCTCCCCCGGCAGCCACTGACCTACTAGACGTTTCACAAATCAGCCATACATAACGTGGCCTTTGTGACTGGATTCTTTCACTTAGTACAATGTTTGCAAGGTTCATTCATGTTGTAGCATGTATCAGTACTCCATCCTTTTTATGGCTGAATACTATTCCATTGTATGGATCCACCTTTGATTTTCCATTTATTAGATGACGGACATTTGGTTTGTTTCCAGTATTGGGCTGTTATGAATAATGCTGCAAGGGACATTCCTCTACAAGTCATTCTCTTGGGTATATACTTCGGAACAGCTGGGTCACATGGTAACTACATGTCTTACTTTTTGAGAAACTCTTTTCCACAGCGGCTCTCCATTCCCACCAGAAATGTTTGAAGTTTCTAATTTCTCTACAACCTTGCCCAACTTTATCTGCCTTTTTAACTAGAGTCATCCTTGTGATTGTGAAGTAGTATCTTATTGTGGGTGTAATTCACATTTCTCTAAAGAGTAATGATGTTGAGCATCTTTTCATTTGCTTACTAGACATACTTTTTTCTTTGAGGAAATGTCTATTTAAATGCCTTGCCCATTTATTAATTGGGTTATCTTTTTAGTTATATATTCATATATGAGTTACTTATATATTCTGGAAACCAAACCTTTATCAGATATGCAATCTCCAAATATTTTCTCCCATTCTGTGGATTACCTTTTCATTTTCTTTTTTTATATTGATTTTGAGAGAGAGAGAGAGAGAAAGAGAGAGAGAGAGACATCGATTTGTTATTCCACTTATTTATGCATTCATTGGTTGGCTCTTGCATATGCCCTGCCTAGGGATCAAATCCCCAGCCTTATCAGGATAGCTCTCTAACCAACCGAGCTAGTGGCCACGGCGATCTTTTCATTTTCTTGATAGTTTCCTTTAATACATAGATATACTTTTTAAAAATGACAAAATTCAGGCACAGGATTGGAAATAGACTTTGCCATGATTTGGATAGTTTTGCTGTTAAAATAAGCAAACTCCCAACTGACTCACATAATTTATTTTAAACTAATTATATGATGATGAAAATAAAGTTCAAAAGAGCATAAGTGAAGGATGGCTTTATTGGCAAAATTAATAATAGAGAGATGGTGTATGAGGTTATTTCAGATGACAGACTTGTTTTCCTTACAACTAAAAGCTTCAACTAGCACATTAAAACTTTAATGCAGATTATCTACATGTGGAGCTTTAGTCTCAGGCCTGGAGCAGCTGTGAAGTGAAAGTTACCACACCATTCTAGTCCTTGGATGTCAGTGTATTGTCCTTCACCTTCCACCCTGCAATAGTAAAAAATAAGTTTGTTCATTAACGAAGACCAAGAATTTATCATCTAAGTGTAAGACTGTCTAGTCTGTGACATATTATATACTATGCCTGAAGAATTATAGCTTTCCATTTTCAGACTTTGATTTAAAACCCAGCACCCTGTTTTCATATCCTACCAAAAAACAAAGTATTAATATTACTATTTCAGATGAACACTGTCATCATAAAAATTCTGGTGTACAAGATTTTAGGTTCACACATGTTAAGTTTACACAAAACCCAAATAGTTTAAAGACAAAAAGTTTATATTAGGTCATTTATTTATAAAACAAATATTTATTGACCATCAACTACATTTAGGGTTCTGTGTTTTGTGCTGGTGATTCCTTGGACTCTTTGGAGTGATAAAAATGCTCTTCACTTAAACAAACAGACCTTTATTCCATGGGTTAGATTTTTCCCCCTTTGTTAACATACTGGGAAAAGTTTATGTGTTATCATTGCAGACTTGGAGTCAATATAAGTGGACACCTTTCTGCCCTCCTCAAAATGTATTCAAATCAATCACCTCATAACAATTAGGCTGCATTTCAACTCTGGAAATAATAAAGAGGCATCTATAAATGAACATGAACTCTGGATGACATGGCATAATACTCAGTGTAAAGATTAAGCATGTAAAGTAAATATTTTTCTACAATTTGAAAATTAACTAATTTTGTGTACATCTTTAAAATTAGCCTAGTAAAAATGTACACACATGTCTGGTCAAAATGAGATAAATGATTATGACACTATCCCCAAGGCTGCTTTTTAAAAATTGAACAACATATTTCAAGTAAAAGTAATTTTTGGCTTAAATTTTCTCAATAATTGCAATAAGCTTTTCATTTCCAAACTAACTGCAAAAAATTTTATACAAAAAGAGGAGTTCAAGAGGAAATAAATGAAAAGTCTAATAGATTATCGACATAAATGATATTTTCTTTAGAAGGCTCATGATAGTCTTAGGATCTCATAAAATTTTTTTCTCCCTAAAAAAATAACCCAACATTTCTTACTAAATAATTTTATATATTTTAACAAAATATATTACAAAAGAATATTTAGCATTAACTAAATATAATACCTAAGCAAACACACCTGAAAAGAATCTCTTATAGCCCTGGCTGGTGGGCCTCAGTGGACTGAGCGCTGGACAAAGGGTCACAGTTTGACTCCCAGTCAGGGCACAAGCCTAGGTTGAGGGGCCAGGCCCCCAGTAGGGGGCACTCAAGAAGCAACCATACACTTTTTCTCCCTTTCTCCCTCCCTCCCCCTCTCTAAAAATAAATAAATACAGTTTAAATAAATTAATAATTTTTTTTAAAAAATCTTTTACAAAGAACTACAGTGATTTTTATTTTAAGCTTACCTATTTTCATTGAAATTTCCCGTGTACTTTGCCCCATTTGGGAACGTATAAGTCCCCAGTCCATGAAACATATTGTCTTTAAAGTGTCCTTCATATACTGCTCCAGAAAAATGTTCAAGTCTTCCAAAACCATTCATCTGTTTGTAACAAAGGAAATTACCTCAGTAGCTAATCTTCAGTTTCCCCAGAACACTTTGAAAATGAACACATATGTCTATTACCTATTTAGGGATTAGTTAATCTATCATTGTATTACTCTTTGTTTCCATAAAAAATAAGACATTTTAATAACTTTCCTTTATATGCATCTTTCTGTGAAGCCTCTCCCCCCAAGTCAAATGTTCCTGATCTGGGGCACTTGCCATCATGGTTTAAATACCATGATGATGATAACAGGGGTCCTTGAGATACCTTGAATTATCAAAAATCTTAAAGGGCAACCAGTATAGTTAGCTGAGGAAACAGTACAAAGTTGGTAAGAACAAAAGTTGTATTCAGCCCTGACTGGAGTGGCTCGGTGTTGGGCGTCCTTCTGCAAACCACAACCGAAAGGTCACTGGTTTGATTCCTGGTCAGGGCACAGGTCTGGGTTGCAGACAAGGCCTGGGGTTACGGGTGTGTGAGAGGCAACTGAACGATGTTTCTCTCACACATCAATGTTTTTCTCCCTCTCCCTCCTCCCCTTCCCATCTCCCTAAAAATAAATAATTAAGATCTTTTTAAAAAAAATTGTATTCAAGCAGACCTGGGTATACATTCTTGTTTCATCACTTATTAGCTGGGCAAAAAACCTGGGGCTGATTTACCTCATTTGTAAGAGAGGAGTATTAATGGTACCTATCTCATGAGTTTGCTTTGAGGATTAAATTAGAAAATTATTTAATGAGTTTAGGTTTACTCAATGAATTGGAGATGAGAAAGATGATAATGACTAGCTCTCTGCATATGTTTAATGTTACGTGTATGTTCATATATATTGTATTAAATATAATCATTTGTTTTTTTGTTGTATAGTCTTCTCATACGTGTTTTTGATTAGTGGAGAAATTCCTGGAATCATTTAATTAATAGGTTTACTTATTCACTCTCAGCATTCAAACCAAAATAATACCTTGTCATCTTTCCAGTTTCCTCTGTAGACAATCCCATTAGGAGTGGTATGAATACCTATTCCATTTCTCTCAAAGATTCCAGAAGGTGTTCTTGTACAATCGCCATCTAAACAAGAGAGAAATACTGAAGTATAAGTGGGAACCCTGTTTGACTAAATAATAAAGTATTTACATTCAGGCCTTATCACAACTACACATATGGGTCTCTTTGGATCCCTACCACTAAAACCGATGAGACCAGAGATGAGGAATCAGAGGGCCTTATAATCCTTGAGACCCAAAGACCAGGAAGACTGACAGATCCCATAAGTTAGCAAGACATACTGCCTAGACTTAACACTAGAATACACTTAAAATCTGTTCATCTATATTATTTTATTTAATGGAGTTAATATCCCAATAGTAGTTTTATAAAATGTTACAATTCATTTTTTTTTTTACTCCTAAGCTATTTAATTTTAGTCTGTATAGAAAAAGTAATTGAAACGTATGCTTACCATACTTGTCTCCATTTGGAAAAATAAAGTTTATCTTAAACACTTCTGCAGCTGTTTCAAAAGATTTAGGGAAAGTCACATAAACAAATATTTTTATGTCATAAGACCTATAACAACTATGCTTTAAGAGCAAGCCAAATAGACCCACTTCATATGATCACAAGCATACCATACTTACTTGACATTCTATTACGCAGTGTTAGGGTTCTTAGGAAATAAACAATTTTGTATAGATGATCCATTTTTATTTATTTGTTATAACAGCTTTATCAATATATAATTCATATACCACAAAACATACACTTTAGAAGTATATAATTCAATATTTTTAGAATATTCAGAGTTGTGTAACTATCACTACAATCTAATTTTAAAATATTTTAATCACCCAAAAAGAAATCATGTGCCCATGCGCAGCTATTCTCCACCCCCTTAATTCCCCCACACCCACCCCACCCCAGCCCCTGGCCACCACTAATCAACTTTCTTTCTCTATGAATTTGCATATCCTGGACATTTCATATATATGAAATCATACAATCTGTAGTCCTTTATGATTGGCTTCTTTTACTTAGCATAATGTTTTCAAGGTTCATCCATGTATTGACAAATAATAGTCCATTGTACAGAAATAACACATTTGTTTATCATTCTTTAGTTGATGGACAGCTGAGTTGTCTCCAGTTTTGGCTACTATAAATAATACTGCTACGGACATTAAGTTTTTATACTGACATATGTTTTTCATTTCTCTTGGGTAGCCTATATGATGTATTGATTGTCTCACAGATGAGGTAGAGTAAGGAAATCTCTGATTTGGCAGAAGGAGAAAAACAGAAAATAAGGATAGTACATGAAGAGGGATGAAGGTGAGGGTGTCCAAACAGAATTAGACTGGAACCGAGACCCGGTGAACAAGGAAGAAAGAAACCAAGCACTGGGGTGAACCTATGTCTCAGATCACTGGGACATTTAGGGAACTAAAACAAAACTAAATTTTTCCAATACAGAAAGAAACATATATGATGAAAAATCAAATAAACTCTCATTTCTAGGACAATAGAGTCTACTAGAATGTTACCCAAAGTGTGACCCATGCATCGGAATCACCTAGGATGCTTGCAAATTCCTAGACTCCACCCTGTACTGCTGAATCAGAATCTCTATGGGTGAAGCAAGAGAACTGGCATTTTTAATTTAGGCGCCAGGAGAGAGAAGCTAGAGGCTCATCCCCTCTGAGGAAATAGAATTAATAACACAATGGGTAGAACACTTTGAAATACATCCCCAGAGAGACAGGAACAGGTAGTTATGAGAAACAACAAATGAGCAGCCTAGGAAGTATATAATTGATAAAATAAAACCCCTTAGAAGGGCTGAATAGCAAAGATATGATTGAAAAGTAAATTAGCGAACTGGAATACAAGGTTTCCCAGAAAGAGTCACAAAGAAAAACAGAGGTATTACCTGAGCAAAGCCTTTCTTATCTCCCCTCACCCCCAAATTCCTCGAGGAGCCCCCACAATACTCTGGGCCTATCCCTGTCATAACACGTAGGGCCCTATTAAAAACAAAAACCAAAAAACTGTTTTTACCAGAATCGCCCACCACGATACCCCCTGCTCGTCTAGGTCAGGGATCAACGGTTAGTCGTCACCCTAGTGTACAGCGCAGTAATTAGCACTTACTAGTAGGAATGGAACGCCTAGCGAATAAATGACACTCGGAAAGCAATCGTTAAATACAGAGCATTTAACTTGATTATACAAGAAACTGAACTGTTTTCAATTGCTCTTAAATGGTTCCACATTCCAAAATTTGGAATGTTAGAGCTAGAAGGAACGGACCTATGAGACCGAGATCGCCTGGAGCACAAAGGAAACTGAAACCCAAAGAGGTCGGCACTTGCCTAAATTGTCACAAACAGCAAATCAGCGGCCGAATCAGAGCTACAATCCCAATCTCCTGATCCTTAGGTCAGAGGCTCTCCGCGCCCCCCACACCACCCTCTGTGTAGACGTTCAGGAAATATGTCACACCGGCACCGGAGTTACCAGGAACCGAGCTCTGCGGCAACGCGAATTCTGTTTAAAGGAGCCCTTCCCCGCTCGGAGCGTTGGGAGGAGGGCCACTCACTTCCCAGAGAGATGCTGGAGAGCTTTTCTGGACTCAGGGATTCCCCCGGAGTCGCCAGCTCTGCGGTGAAGAGGGAACCAAGAGCTAAATCGTCGCAGAGTGCATCTCGGTTGCTGGGGCAACCAGGCACCTTTCACCCGGAAATTAAAATGCGAGGATCCAAGACTAAGCCAATCAGGAGGCGCCAGGGCTGTGCAGCTGCTGCTGGGCCGCGGCCGAACAGCTCCAGGTGAGATCGGTGAGGGAGGCTGATCCCGGCGGGACCCCTCAGCCCTGAGCCTTTCCTTCCGGACAGCCGCCCCGGGAAGCAGCGTTGCAAGCCCTGTACGGCCGCCCCCTCCGCGGACAAGGGTGTGTGTCTGTGTCCGTGTCCGTGGTCTTTGCGTCGCCCTGGTTGTGAGTGTGTAGACCCTCCCACCGCCTCCCTCTGCCGAAATGGACGTGGTCTGGTGGGATCCAGCCTGCTTGGCTGGGTCCGGCGAGTCTGGACCAGCAGGATCTCAGACCCTGAGATCGGGCGAGGCGGGAGTCCCTAGCTGAGCTTGTCCACCAGCCTCAGGCTAGAGGCGGGGGCGCAGAATTCGGGTTTGGAACGAGATAAAGGGGTTGGATTGGAGAGGCTCAGGTTTCATTTCCTGCCTTCTCCTGCTTTTACCGAGTGGCTCTGTGGGGGAGAAAATTGGGGACGATGCATGTTCGAAAAAACGTCCTAGGGCTGGGTATGTGCTGGAGCTGGAGTATGGAGTCAGAAATTTGCCTGGAAGGCAGTGGTGTGTGTCAAGTGTTGAGCGCCCCGCTTAGTGATTCTGTTCCTGGGAAGCAAACTTGGGTGTGAAACAAAGGATACTCTTCGAGCCAAACTAAGGTTCCTGTGTCCACGGTGAAGAGAGATAATTGGAATCTTTTCAGGCTAAATTGGATAGAATAGTAGAGTCTATCTATGTGGATTATACAACCTAATTCCTGTTCCCTGGAAAATGTGTGGGGAGAGACATACTGGATGCAGGCAGCAAGTCTTCGTTCAGAATTTGAGAGCGGACCTCAGACCAAGCTGTAAAGGCAACACTTTCTGGGTTGGTGTGAGACAAGCTGTTGATCACTCTTGAGGCAAGCTTGCTGTGGCTTGGTCTCGTTGGCTAGCCACTCTTATTTTTTTAAGTAAGAGCACAGTATCTTCTTGCTTTTTTCCTCATGCTTCTTACTACACAAATTTACCTGGGCTGGATGATTTCTCAAATGAAGTTCTGATCTTCCCGTCTGATATGTATATCCCTTCCCTTTTTCTAAATTTTAGAAACAATAGATAATTATTAATGCACAACTTTACAGAATTCAGCTCATCCCATTGTTTAAATCTGTTAAGCTTTTAATGACTACATTTTTGTAAGTGTATGTGTATTTACTATTGTTTTTACAGAAAAACTTGAGGCAGACTCCTTTCTTGTGATGGTCTTATCTAAGAGGCTCTAGAGTCAGGAAATTTGTGGTATGGTTTAAAATTTGCATTGGATTTTTCCTTTTTTTTAATGATGTTTTGACACATTGAGGACCCAGCTGGTGAGGAAGAAACTGCTTGTCCTAGGGATGGCTAATTATCAACTGACCTGTGAACACGCCTTTCATATGCACAGCAACCCATCTGGAGTCCACAAGCCCCTGCACTTCCTAACTTCCCCTGGCCCGAAATCAACCCAGGGCCAGGTACCAGGCATGTAGGGACAGTCCCCTGTGCCCCAGAGCCTGCTGGAATTACTCAAACTAGCCAACTCTAAACTGTTTGCCCTGCCCTGCCTTTCCCATGGAACCCCCAGGAAGGCTGTGGCCTGTGCCTTCTCCTGGCTCCTTTCTGTCTCCTCACTGGTACCTCCCGCTGTGGTCCCTGGTGGCATGGCATGCGTCACCTATTTAGGGGACCTGTAACACTTAACTTTTCTTTCAATGGCATTGAACTCTCCGTTGTCACTCAGTCACCTTTATAAATTAAGACCCAGGCACAAATCCCAGTGGGGCAAGTTTATCAAAAGCAATTCAAAAACCGTTGAATTGTAAGTGTGTGTGTTGGGGGCCGGGGCGCGGGGTGGGGGGTCCGGTCAGGAGATGATATGGTGGAAAGAATTTCAGGTTGGACACAAATGGATCATTGCTAACCCTGTCTCCAGAATTTGTTTCTGTCATTGATGACATTAAACAAGTCTCCTCCTCTATAAAATATAGAAAATAATATTTCCTTTACAAAATTTTTAGAGGATTTGGAAATCTTACCTTTCCCCTCATCGAAGACTTGTATATCCTATTACTTTCTACACATCTCCATTTCAGTATCTTAGAGGCATCTCAAATGTAACATATCCATTCCGAACCTGTGGCTTTCTCCCCACACATCTTTTTCTCCCTAGTATTCCTGTTCTGAGCACGTGACACCACCGTTCACCCAGACCACTGTCAAAGAGCTTACCATCTATGTTTTCTTCCAGTTTTATGGTTTCAGGTCTTACATTTAAATCTTTAATCCATTTTGAATTCATTTTTGTGTGTGATGTAAGACAGTAGTCTAGTTTCATTCTTTTTCATGTGGCTGTCCAATTTTGCCAGCATCATTTATTAAAGAGACTGTCCTTTCCCTGTGTGTATTCTTGGCTCCTTCGTTATAAATTAATTGACCAAATATGTGTGGGATTGTATCTGGGCTCTCTATTGTGTTCCATTTATTTATATATGTTTTTATGCCAATACCATAGTATTTTGATTACTATAGCTTTTGAATATAGTTTGAAATCAGGATGTTTGATGCTTCCAGCTTTGTTCTTCTTTCTCATGATAGCTTTGGCTATTTGGGGTCTTTTGTGCTTTCATACAAAATTTAGGAAATGTTCATACAAACATACAAATTGGTGGTTCTGTTTCTGAGAAAAATGCCTTTGGGATTTTATAGGGATTGCATTGAATCTGTAGACTGCATTGGATAGTATGAACATTTTAACAATATTAATTCTTCCAGTTCACGAGCACAGACTATCCCTCCATTTATGTGTGTCCTTCAGTTTCTTTTTTCAATGTCTTAAGGCTTTCAGTGCACAAGTCTTTCACCTCCTTGGTTAAATTTATTCCTAGGTATTTTGACTTAAAGTTTATTTGTCTGATATAAATATAGCTATCCCTGCTCTCTTTGTGGTTTCCATTCACATGGAATATCTTCTTCAATCCCTTCACTTTCATTCTATGTGTGTGAAAGCTGAGGCTATTCTGCTGTAGGGAGCATATAGTTGGCTCTTGTTTTTTAATCCATTCAGCCACTCTGTGTTTTTTGACTGAAGAATCTAGTCTATTTACACTTGAAATAATTATTGATAGGTAGTATTAACTCTTGCCATTTTATTACTTGTTTCCTCTATTTTATAGATCCATTGTTCCTTTCTTTCTCTCTTTCTGTCTTCCTTTGTGATTTGATGATCTTCTGTAGTAGTATGCTCTTATTCCTTTCTCTTTATTTTTTGTATATCTACTATATTTGTTTTGTAGTTTCCTTGAGGTTTACCTAAAAAATCTTAACATTTTATTGTAAACTGATAACAATTTAACTTGGATTGCATACAAAATCTCTAAACTTTACTCCCCACAGGCATAATCTCTGAGCCAGGGCTGTGTTCTGAAATTGTATATGTAAATTTAAAGTTTGTTTATCAAATCACATTTGCAATAAATGAAAACATCTCTACTCAACTAGACTTTTTAAATTCTATACCAGATATAACCAAATCAAAATATAGGACTGGGGCCTAGGCATGCGTGTTTTGAAACTTCGTGTGTTTCCAACGCACATCCATGATTGAGAAATCTGTGCAAGAGAAATTCACTGACAGGGATGTGCTTGTAAATATTTCATGAAGCAGCTTATCCATGCTTTCCTTAAACTGACCCTTTTAAAATGTGCATTTTTCCTTTATTTCCTTAAGGTAGAGTGTATCTATAACTTTGAAAACAAAGAGTTATTATACTCACCTGGTTTTATGATGCTGTATTATTTTTTTCTCTTGCAGGTGAAAATGAGCTCTTCAGTAAGAAGAAAAGGCAAACCCGGCAAGGGAAGTGGAAAAGGGTCTTCTAGAGGAGGAAGAGGAGGCAGGAGTCACAGTAGTAAATCTCACGGGGGCGGCAGCGGTGGTGGCGGCAGCGGTGGCAATAGAAAGGCCTCAAGTAGAATTTGGGATGATGGTGATGACTTTTGTATCTTCAGTGAATCCAGGCACTCAGCCAGGTATTATGCTCTTTGAATGTGCAAATACAGAAACAGTGTCGATTCCTAACCTGGACAGGTGGCTAAAGGAAGGGGGAAGAAATGCCAAGTGGCCATTTCTGGCCAAGTTCATTGTTCCTCTTATTTTAACACTTTGCAGTCCCCCTGTTTATAATATATTCTAAAGGCACAGTGGCAAATAACAGCCTTTTCTTTTTGGAAGTTCGGAATATGAAGCTAACTTTAACTTCTGCATGATGCTATGAATTGAGTGTAACACTTATTGTAACCAGTGTTACTAGGAAAGTAAATATTGGAAATGGTGAAAGTGATGAAAATTATCTTAAGTATTTCTTAGACTTTATAGGTTGAAGGTCCCAATATGTGACCTGATTGTCTTTCTAATGGATGAATTATCTGTTATCCAACCAGACCAAATCGTCACTGGTCCTTCATGTGATGACCAGTGACAGATGTCATATCCAGGCTTCTCTCGTATTCAGCTTTTAAATAATGAATAAATCCTGATAGTTCTAATGAATATCTAATGAAAGTAAAGATTTACTACTGGATGCTAGGCAATATATATATGCAAAATATTGTAATTGTCTTTCAAACTGCATTATAAGCTTTCCACTGGAATTTTGAGAGATGGAGAGATTTCTTTGAAGATACACGCACACACACACTTTTTTATGGGAGTAACTCTCAAGCTTTTAATGTAAATGAATTCAACTTTGTGCATTCAGGAGAAAAAGAAAAAGAAAAACAGATAAGCATTTAAATAGTTTAAACTTGCCACTAAATGAACCTGGGCCCCATAGTAAGTAAGATATGGAGAGAGGAATCTGCCATTCCCTCATCAGTCTGTTTCCAAGTGCTTCTTCTAGTTTAAGCCTCTAATGCACTGAGTATGTGATTTTTAGGGTTTAAACATGTTTTTCATTCATACTGCCTAACATAACCAAATACTTCTCGTATTCAACAAGAGAATCTACATTTGTTTTCATTCTAGAAGATAAATGGTCACTTTGGGCATATTGAGAGAAATATAGCAGTCTCAAACTTGACAGCATTTAAAGGAATCTTCCAGAGTAATTTTAAGATATATTTTCACCTTAGCTGCTGACTTAAAAGGCCAATTTCTGAGTTAAATCCAGCTTCTTTTTGAAAACATAGACATTTAGGTTCTTGCAGTCTTAGACATTCACTCATGCAGCAGATAGTGAGTGCCTACCATGCACCAGGTACTATTTTAGGAACTAGAATTACAGCAAGGAATAAAATAGAGTTCTTGTCTTCATAGAAGGAGGTTTGGGGTATAAAGACCATAAATAAATGTATACTACGTCAGGTGCTAAGTGCTATGGAGAAAAATAAAGGAGGGTTGAGGTGATAGAAAAATACCAAAATAGATTGCTGGTATTTCAAATAGTTGCTAATTTATATATAGTAATCAGAGAAAGCTTCTCTAATAATGTGTCATTTGAGCAGGGACAAGAAAATGAAGGAATAAGCTGTGACACCAGAGGAGGAAAGAACATTCAAGGCAGAGGGAACAGCAAGTACAAAGTTCCTAAGCCAGGAGTGCTTGGAAGGTTCAGGAAATGGCAGGGAAGCCAGTGGCTAGAGTGGACAGGTAAAAAGAGAGTGATAAACAGTTACAGCTGAAAGGCTACACGGTATAGGCCATTTAAGGACTTTGGCTTTTGCTTTGAATAAGAGGAGGTCACTGACACGGTTTAAGGCAAGGGTGCATGACATCAGGCACTCTGGCCAGAGTTGCTACTATTCACTGTATATCTTTATGTGAATTAGAAAATGGGGCCCCTTTCTTTGGGCAGTTACGACTTGGGGAGCACAGCATGGGCTGGATTTTAGCTCTTGCTGGCCCCTCCTCTCCCTCCACCAGGAGCCTTTGCGCAGTGTTTATTCTGTGCAACTGTACTCAGTAGCCCTGACTCACTGTGCTGTGTGGAGAATAGACAACAGAGGGACAGGGCTGGAACCAGGAAGACCAGTTGGGAGGTACTCTGGAAGTGGAGAAGTCATAGACAACTTAGTATATGTCTGGAGTTCAAGAAAAAGACCTAGGGTAGAGAAGTAAATATATGAATGCTCTGTAAATAAATGCTATTGAAAGCTATGCGAGTGGATGAGCGAGACTATGAAGAGAGGTCTGAACTTTGAGCCCTGGAACTCTAGGCTTGAGAGCTGGGAGAGACTGGGAAAATCAGAGACAACTGAGAAGGAGTCGCCAGTGAAGCAGAAGGAAAACTAAGAGCATGGTTTCTGTAATTCAAGAAATAAAAGTGGTTTAGCCCTGGCTGGTGTGGCTCAGTGGATTGAGTGCCAACCTGTGAACCAAAGAGTCGCCAGTTCAATTCCCAGTCAGGACACAGGCCTGGGTTGCAGGCCAGGGTGCCATTTGGGGCACACAAGAGGCAACCACACATTGATGTTTCTCTCCCTCTCTTTCTCCCTCCTTTCCCCTCTCTCTAAAAAATAAATAAATATTTTTTAAAAAATAAAACAAAAGTGGTTTAAAGGGGATTATCCAATTTGATTAGATTGGATCATTAAAGGGGATGTTCAGTTGTGGGGGGGGGCGGGAAGCTTCTGATAGGTGAAGAAAAACGTGCACTGACAGTTGTCCACTGGATTTGGCCATGTGGTTAGCATGGTAACCTTGACAGGAGCTGTTTGGTATGCAGTAGTTGGTAGGGAACAAACCCTATTGGAGTGTGTTTCCAAGTGAAGTGGAAAGAGAGTGGAGACAAAGACATTGATTTAGAAATGCCTTTTGAGGAGTTTTGTTCTAAGACAGGGTCTCCAGCCTCTGGGCCATGGACCAGTACCAGTCGGGCCCTGTTAGGATCCAGGCCGCACAGCAGGAGGTGAGCTTGAATGTGTGCACTTGAATCATCCTGAAACCATCCCCCTCCCCTGGTCCATGGAAAAATTGTCTTCCACAAAACTAGTCTATGATGCCGAAAGGGTTGGGGACCGCTGCTCTAAGGGGTAGGGGAGGAAGGAGAAACAGGGCTATAGCTTCAGGGACATTTGCAGTCAAAGGGAGGATTTTGTTGGTTGGTTATTATTTAAGATGGTAGATATTATATAGTATGTTTGTATGCTGATGGGAATGATCCAAAGGAGAAGAAGGAACTGATGATGTAGAGAGGGGATTAAGAACTGGTATGATTTCCCGCAGGAGATTAGAGATTGGGATACAGCATACAAGCAGGTGTCCTAACTGATGTTAGGATCAAGGATGGTTTATCTTTTGTAACAGGAAGGAAGGCAAAGTATATGGGAACACAAATAAGTGGTGAATGAGGTTCCCCCTCCCCTATCTTTTTTTTTTTTTAACTAATTATGAGGAAACAATCAGGCAAATCCAAACTAAGAATTTATACTAGAGAGCTGATGACCTGAGTGCCTCAAAAATGTCAATGTCAGGAAATAGGTGAGGGAACTGTTCTAAATTAAAGGAGTTTGAAAAAAATGACTAAATGTCATTTTTTAAGTAGATGCTAAACAAAAAATCTATAGAGGACAGAATTAAGGCAATTAGGAACTTTGAACATGGACTATATGTTAGATGCTACTGTATCAGTATAAAATACTTGTGAGTGATAGTAGTATTATGATTGTATACAAGTATATCTCTATTCTCAGGAAATACATGCTGAAGTATTTGAGTGACTATGATAGCTGCAGCTTACATTCGGGTGGTTCAGCAGTATATGCATATAGAGAGGAAGGAAGGCATACGAGGTCTGGAAAAAGTCCGGCCATTGTTAACGTAATGAGGACTGTTCATGCAGTATCGATGTAACCTGGCAGCTGAGGAGAGTGGACTGGACTGCACATGTGTGAACAATGACTGCTTCACTGTACTAGTCAGTGGGGTGGTGGATGCTGTTGAGTGAGCATGTGTACTGTGTGGCTTTCATATTCAAAATGACTGAGCGAGAAGAGCAACGAATCTGCATCAGATTTTGCATTAAGCTTGAACATTCCTCCATGGAAACTATTCACAGGATTCAGAAGGCCACAGCCATGGGCAACTGGTGATTGGCAGCTTCATCACAACAACACACCTGCTCATGCGTCACGTCTCGTGCAGAGTTTTTTGGTGAAAACATCAAATCACCCAGGTGACTTAGCCCCCCTCCAGCCCAGATCTGGCACCCTGTGACTTCTGGCTTTTCCCAAAACTAAAATCACCTTTGAAAGGGAAGACATTTCTTATCGTCATGAGATTCAGGAAAATACAGCGGGGCAGCTGATGGCGCACTGGGAGAACTCTGTGAGGTCCCAAGGTACCTACTTTGAAGGGGACTGAGGTACCATTGTCCTATTTACAATGTTTTTGTATCTTGTTCAATAAATGTCTCTATTTTTATATTACATGGCTGGATACCTTCTAGACAGACCTCATGTATATAGACATGTATGTGTGTAGACAAAGAAGAGTACATAAATGTGTGTGTACATCTCTGTATGGAAAATGTTAAGAACTAATGAATCTAGGTAAAAGGTGTTTATTTTTCTGGGTTTAAAATTTTCAAAACAAAAAGTTAATGGAAATGATGGATTTTTGGCCAACATTTCTTTTTAGAGGTTGCCACTAAATAGTTAAAAACCGCAATCAACTCTACCTTTTCCTTTGCTCTTCAGCTTTACAAATGTAAGTGTGTGGTTCTTTTAATGTGTTGCATTGTAAATACAGAGAAAGTTTCTTTCGTTTCCCTAGATTTGTGAAAATTTATGAAACATGCCAAACAAACAAAAACAAAGATAGGAATTTAGTGAATAAAGTTAAACCTTACAACTTATGTTTTAAATATTAAAAAGAGTCCTTTCAAATCTAAATTACAACAATGCAAAAGATGTATGAAATAAATTCTAGTATATCTATATCTTTATGTAACTATTTAAAATTGTGTCGTAGGAGAATATTTATTAGGGAAATGCCAGCTTTATTTTGATAGGGAAGTAAAGCAAATTATAAAAGTTTATACATACTGTACAGTTTCTAAATGTATATGAAAAACATATGTGAATTAGGGTGACCTCTGTGTTTTTTGTTCTTTTCTACAGTGAACGTGTATTTTTTTTATAATCAGAAATAAAAATAATATAGGTAAATATTTCAAAAATAGGCTATTAACTCGTAAGTATTAACAAGTAAAATGGAACTCTTGATTGTTTTCAGATTGACTACCTAAAATAGAATGCAATAAACACTTTTCATCTGTAGTATATTTCTTTTAAAAGTTCTCTAGAGCAGAGGGAGCCAGGATAGCATTGCTTTTTCCGGAGGGATCTTGAGTTAGTGAAGCCCGTTTTAATGACTAAGAATCCAACTGGTGTTTTTTTCCTGGAGTCGCAACATAATGAAGTCTGGTAAGGATTATACAGAATAGAAATCCTGTTCTCATTCATTGTTATCTTTTATAAGATACTTGACTGACTAGTGTGTGTTGTATATATATGGGGACTCTGAGGAGAGTGTAACAATTCTGATTACAGCAGGTAAATGGGTAATTTTGTTCTTTTGTCCTTTGCAGACCTAGCAGCAGTAGTGTAAGGAAAGGAGAGGCACGCCCCAAATGGAAGCCCAAAGCCAAGGTGCCCTTACAGACTCTGCAAATGACCTCTGAGAATCAAGAGAAAGTGAAAGCTCTTCTCCGAGACCTGCAAGAACAAGATGCAGATGCTGGATCTGAGTAAATTATTTTTTTTTGAGTAAATTATTTTATTAAGGAGGATGTATTGGCATCTTCACATACAGTGAAGATCCTGTGTGTTCTTTGAATGCTGTATCAAACACTGACCCTGTTGTGGCTATATAGCTAGTTGAAAGTGAGCTAAGAGAAATGCGAGAATAATTATTCAGCGACAGTTTTAAAGTGAATTTGATTTACAGTATCTGAGCAGTAGTACAGATTGCCTTTTCATCTTTATTATTTTTTTCCAGGACAGTGATTTTCAACCTTTTTCATCTCATGGCACACATAAACTAATTACTAAAATTCTATGACACACCAAAAAATATGTTTTTTGCTGATCTGACCAAAAAAATTGGTGTAATTTTGATTCATTCACACCTTATGGCTCTTGCTGTGTTGGCTGTTGTCATTTTTTCATTTGACAATTTAAGGGAAAGGGGATCAGTGCCCTCGACTAAGTAGTCAGGTACTGCACATTTTAAACGTTCTTGCAGCACACCACTTGAAAATGGCTGTTCTCGGGGATGCTAATATGGATTCAGTAATTGCTTTGTTGACATCCTTCTAAATTATACCTTGTAGTGAACAACTAGAAGTATTGTTCTAGGAGGAAATGTTGAGTTGATCCAATGAAGTCTTAAGATTACACTACTCATGACCATCTGCCTAACAGCTTTTACTGTTTTGGTTATTTTGGTCGGTTTGAGAAGTTAATTTTTTCCACTTGCCAGAATTAATGACTCGTCAGTCATGACCAGCTCAATTTCCATCCTGTCTACAAATCTCTTGTCTATCTTTTATTTAAGAATGGGGGTTATGCAGCAAAGCAAAAAATTAGAGCTGGTTTTTATGAATGAGAAGAGAAAGGAAGGGTAGCTGTAACTTCTTTAGTTAAGCATATGGGCTCTGGGGTGAGACTGTTTTGGTTAGAATCTCTAGTTTCTCTTTACTGTATAAACTTTGGTAATTACTAACCCTCTCATAAGTTTTGGTTGATCATCTGAAAAATGAAGATTCTAGCAGTATCTGGTTGGGTTTTGGGGGAGATTTTTTTTAAAGAAATAATACATATAAAACACTTAACCTAGTACCTGGCATGCAGTAAATGCCTGATGAATGTTAATTACCAAAATATAAATTAATAAGTGAATAGAAGATTAAATCAGTGACTGAACAGTGGTCAGAATCCTATGTTCTTTGGCTTTTTAAATTAAATTCTCAGACTCTTGCTAAATTTTTTCTGGGAAGTAAATAGAAATTAATACATAATGTATGAAAGTGTTACCTTTTCCAGAAGAAGCGTTTCGGGGGAAGAGGAAGAGGATGAGCCTGACTGTGATGAAGCGCAGTGCTGGTTGGCTGGCCAAGAAGCTTCCTTCGTTCCCGACTCTGATCCTTCGGAATATGCTGGCTCGGGCCTAGTGGAGGCTCATAATCCAGAATTTACCGTCTCAACGTTTGCAGTGCAGAAACTTTCCAGGTGATTGCTTTCAACATTTATAGGATTTGGGGGAGAATTCAAGGAAATGGAAAGCATATTGTAAACCCAGCTCCCCCTCTCCGCCTTTGAGTACTTTCCTATTGCATGGGTTCCAGAAGTGCCTGATATGCCTAATATTCTCTCTTTTAGGTTAGGGAAATTAAGGAGGAATTAGTATTATCAGAGACTCCTTTTCAAAATACAACCCTGCCTAGATATAGGTATAACTTCACATAACTATATGTGAATTTAAATGAATTCCACTTCTGTGATTTGATATTACTTACTCCTTTTTTGTCACATTTCACACTTGGCAGGTATGGTTTCAACACTGAACATTGTCAAGCAGCTCTGAGGATTTGTGATGGAGATGTGGGGGCATCCCTAGAACATCTGCTCACCCAGTGTTTCTCTGACACATTTGGAGAGAGGATGAAGACCCCTGAGGCAGTTGCCCATATAAGCATGAAAGAGTGTATGGAGCAGCGACAGGAAGAGGCATTTGCTCTCAAGTCAATCTGTGGAGAAAAATTCATAGAAAGAATTCAGAACAGAGTCTGGACCATTGGATTAGAACTGGAGTATTTGACAAGTAAATTCTGCAAATCCAAGCAAAAGGAAAGTACCAAAAGTATACAGGAGACTTCACTTGAAATCTGTAAATTTTACCTCAAAGGAAATTGTAAATTTGGGTCAAAATGCAAATTCAAACATGAAGTGCCCCCCAATCAAATTGTTGGAAGAGTAGAAAGAAGTGTAGATGATTCTCATCTTAATGCTAATGAAGAGGCATCTTTTTTATATGAACTTGAAATTCGATTTTCTAAAGACCACAAGTACCCCTACGAAGCTCCCCTTGTGGCGTTTTATTCCACCAATGAGAATTTACCTCTGGCTTGTCGTTTACATATTTCTGAGTTCCTTTATGGCAAGGCCTTGACATCGGCAGAAACGTCAGAACCTGTTGTATATTCTTTGATTACGCTTTTAGAGGAAGAATCGACAATAGTCAATTTACTAACAAATACCCATCACAAGTACAGTGTCCCTCCAGTGAACTTTCTGCCAATGTCCTCTGGAACCAGAATAAATAATCCTGTCTGTCGTAAACTAGTGATTCCAAATAATTCTTTTGTTTCAAGTCAAATTCCAGAAGGTATGTAAGGCATTGATCACATGGAGGGTGTTTTGGGGTCGGGATGGGAGCATTCAGAATGATGGGTTAAAGAAGTCAAAGGTCCTGAAGGCTGGTCGAGGCTGTCCCAGTGACCTTAGGGAAGTCCGTGGGCAAAAAGGAATGAGAGTCCCCTGAACTGTGGCCTGACTTTAATTGTGCGGTGCAATTTGATCGCTGTGATTGGGCTCCCTGAACTGAAAGTTTGAAGTGATATGTAAGTTTAGCAGTTGAGGGTTAGAAGAAATTTATAGCATCTTGCCAGAAAACGTGTTTCACTTCATTCATTTGGTTTTACTTGTTTATTTCTGATACTTTATATGGGATTACTTTGAAACGAGTTTTTAGAGATACTTTTCTTTCTATATCACTGTTCATACCCTCCTGCTTTTAGTATGCTAGACCCCCAAAATTCATTGGAGTAGAGCTATCTCTATGAATCCGTAAATCCTCAAACAAATGTTTGTGCCGGCTTCTGCCTTTATCCACATCCAGGTTTGCTGGGCGGTTCGTGCACCACAAGTAAATCCCCTTTAGTTCATCAAAGGATTCTCTCTTATTTGTTGCTGTCTTTCTTTCAGAGAAATGAGTTTTCATTGTTTCACAAGAGTTCCTAGGTACTGTATTTTGCCGTGTGTAATGCTGTCCCATATATAATATACACCTACATTTTTGGCCCAAACTTTCAGGGGAAAAAATTCTTTTGTTTTAATTATTTCAATCTATTATTTATTTATTTATATTTAGAAACAAAACTAATTATTATATTCCTAGGTATTATTTTGCAGACGGATATTAGTATTTCTTTCTGGAGTTACACTTTTTAATGCGTAAGCATAAATAAAAGAACTAAAAACATTTATGTGGATACAGAATTAGTACTACCCATGTATCATGCACATCCTTATTTTTCCCTCAAAAATTTGGGCTAACAGTGCGCACTATACATGGCAAAATACAGTCACTGTGACTAAGCAGAGAACAGTGAAGCTGCACTGAGACATGGAGGCTGACAGCTGTTCACTCACTCGCCACTTGACTAGCGCCGGGCTTCAGATGTATTCCTTGAGAAATGATGTTGTGGGTTCTAAACTCTAGAAAATAACGGCTTTATTGAGAAATAATTTGCATGCCATAAAATTCACCCTTTAAAATAAGTATACAATTAAATGGTTTTCAGTATATTGACAGAGTTGCACAACCATAACCACTGTCTAATTCCAAAACATTTTCATCACCCTATTCAGAAGCCCCATGTCTATTAGCAGTCACTCCTTATTTCTCTTTTCTCCCAACTCCTGTTGGCCACAAACCTCTGTTCTGTCTCTATGGATTTGCCATTTCTGGGCACTTCGTAGAAATAGAACCACACAATAGGTGGCTTTTTGTGATTGGCTTTCACTTAATGTTTTCAAGGTTCATTCATGTTGTAGCATGTATCAGGACTTCATTTTTTTTAATTGTTGAATAATAGTCTGTTATATGAACATAACACATTTTGATTATTGATTCATTGTTTGATAGGTTGTTTTGTGTCATTGAATTTTAGGTATATTTGCAAATAATTGAAACTTGCAGTTAATTCCTCAGTGTAAAGAGGCTACTGGGTTAACAAGGCATGCCATGACTTTCTCTTTGTTTTTAATTTAATTTAGTGTTTAACAGTAGCCACATATGCTTGATAAAAATTTGATTGAAGATGCATTTTAAGTTCTCTAGCGGAAGTAATAATATTGAAATGAATGAACCTGCTTTATTCAAGCTTTAACTTTTTCTCCATTTTATGATTTTGTTGTTACTTTGTTAGATAGTGACTTTCCCCCTTTGATAAAGAAAGGGCTCCATCTCGAAAATGTTTCCTTTTATCCCCTTCAAGTTGAAAAAGAATCAGAGCCTGAGGAGGAGACAGATGAGGATGAAGGTCCTGCACCAGTTGTAGTGGAGAATGAAAGCTATGTGAACCTTAAGAAAAAGATTTCCAAAAGATATGACTGGCAGGCAAAATCAGTACATGCTGAAAATGCTAAAATCTGCAAGCAGTTCCGAATAAAACAGGTAGGGTATTCTGAGAGAATGGCTAGCATTGCCTCCCTGATGTTATGAATGGAGGGATTAGGAATTGGGAAGCTTTGGCTGCCCTCCCTAGTATACTTTTGGTTCTCTTTTACTGAGTGGTCAAAATTTCTGCATGCCGCAGCAAACTTGGGCACATGTTTTAGATAGTTTTGGAAAATCCCACAGCTGATGAAAATGGAATACACACGCATATACCAAGTATTCTCAGAATCATGTGGCTTTGGTACTCTTGACAGTCACTCTGGTAACTGGAAGGAAAATTAATACCATGATTTACATCAGAGAAATTGCTGTGAAAAAGGAGAAGGGTAAAGGACTTTTACCCATTTCAAAGGCTCACAGGATAAATAACTTGCCCTAGGTCATATAGGTAGTGAGTGGCAACATAGAGGTTCAAGCTCATTCTCTCTGTTTCCAAAGCCTTTGTTGTTTTTACCCCATTTACAGGAAGATTATTTGAAAAGAACCTGCAAATGAACTGAGAAGGCAAAGGTGGATGTGGGACAAATGGGAGTGGCTTAACCAGTCTGGGGATTGGATTAGAGATGCTGTGTGGGGCCCCTCCAGGTCTAAAGTTTTGTGATTCCGATTTGGACAGAGTGTAAAACTATCTAATATATAGTACAGTACCTGTAGAACATCAAAATGAGTAGAAAATCACGATAAATAATAAGATGGTACAAACAAAAAATTAAATGTTCAGTTCACTGTGCTTAGAGGTGACAAATTTGTGTAATGAAATATGCAGGAAATGATGTGTTAGTATAAATTTCTTACATTATTCAAAAGTGCATCCATACTTTTAATGCATGATACTGTATAGCATTGCATTAGATGTCAGGCTGAGTTACATAGATGTGATGACTGGCCAAAAAGAACCCTTTAATGAGTGCTCTTACTATAACTGATTTGGGTAAAAATCTGATACTGTGTAGAACTGTGCTGTCCAATATGGTAACTTCTAGTCATTTGTCGCTATTTAAATAGAAATTAATTAAAATAAAATATTCAGTTCCTCAGTAGTACTGACCACAGTAAAGTGTTCAGTAGCCATGTGTAGCCAACCCAAACATAGAACATTTCCATCGACACAGAAAGCTCTGTTGGACAGTGCTGGTTTAAAAACTCTTGCTAGGAAGAGCTAGATAAGTACTAAGCAAGAGGGGTTTATTTCTCTTATAAGGTCTTTCAGTTTCCTCTGATTAGGAAAACCACATAGATTGCACAGTTTATTCTGGCTGGTCCTCTGAGCAGCCTTCTGACTAAAGTCATCAGTATCCAACCCCAACACTATGCAATTTCATCCTCTGAATAAATTGTTAAGGAGCAGAAAGGGTGGGCCTAACTATGGGTTTTCACATTCAGAGCTTTGTGAGAAGCCATTCAAAGTAACCCAACTGATACCTTATCTTTTATTTTATTAGGCTTCCAGGCAGTTCCAGTCAATTCTGCAAGAAAGACAATCACTCCCTGCTTGGGAAGAAAGAGAAACCATTCTTAAATTGTTGAGCAGGCACCAAGTACTTGTTATAAGTGGTATGACTGGGTAAGAATGCAGTTTATTTGTAATGCAGCATTCATCTGTAAATATGGTATGTACCCTCCTTACCATAGCCAGTTCTACTTTTGAAAAGCCAGTAGTTGGTGTTATTTGTGCTTTTTCCTGTCAAATATTAAATAATATTTCATAGGAACCAACACTGCAGCATCTGTAGCCAACAGAGCCGAATCACAAAAAAACAAAAACAAAACTCAGAAGTACATCTAGGAGCTTATAGGCATTGTACACCTCTGTCTTGGGGTAATTTCAAGGCAAAAAGTTTAGCTGAAGGCTTTTAACAAGACCCATTTTAAAATGTGAAGGATAGCCCTAGCTGACGTGGCTCGGTGGATTGAGCGCTGGCCTGCGAACCAAAGGGCCCCTGGTTTGATTCTAAGTGTAGAGCACATGCCTGGGTTGCAGGCCAGGTCCCCAGCAGAGGGCGCACTAAATACAAACACACATTGATGTTTCTCTCCCTCTCTTTCTCCCTCCCTTCCCCTCTCGAAAAATAAATAAAATATATAAAATAAATAAATAAATAAAATGTAAAGGATAGTTTTAGAACATTTAGCTTGAAAACTTTTTATCTACTAAATTTATCCTGCTTTTTTTAGAGCTTTTATTTGTTCTTTGAATAACAACTTAGGGCATGTTATTTTTCCTGTTTCATACTCTCCGTATGTTATTGAAACCTATTTAGCAGGGGACAAATCACAGGCATAAATTTGTTATCTATTCAAGCATTTCAATTTAATATAATTACATTTGTGCTCAGACTAACTCATATGTAGTATTAACTTTGTATCTTGTAGTTTCTTATCTTTTTAACTTCAGTTTATCTATAGCCAAGTCAGTACACATCAAAGGGAAAAAATATGAAGTATTTTAATAATCTTAAGACAATATTCCTATTTCTTTAGGAGTCATATGTAGAGTTCACATTCCTAGAGGCATTTACAGACCTTAATCTAATGTCTATTTAATAGTCCCAATTTTGCACATGATAGTAAACTATTTTTTGATCATCCTGGTAATGAGTGTGAATTTGTAGGAGTTATCAGCCTTAGGTAATAAGTCAGTAGGTAGGTTTAGAAGCTAGATGAAGCTGAACACCTTTTATTCTAATTAACTTTCTGTCATTCCTCATTGCATGTGATTTCTTCTTTAGTTAACTAGCACTTGCAGACTCTCATTTTAGGACTTACTTGTTTTGGCATGCAGATGTGGGAAGACCACACAGATTCCACAGTTTATACTGGATGATTCCCTGAGTGGACCACCGGAGAAGGTGGCTAACATCATCTGTACGCAGCCCCGACGGATCTCTGCAATCTCCGTCGCCGAACGTGTTGCTAAGGAGAGAGCGGAGAGGGTGGGTCTGACTGTGGGGTACCAGATCCGCTTGGAGAGTGTCAAGGTTTGTTTCTCTGCTTATTTCCTGATGACAGAAATTTAGTTTTCAAATATACAATACTTCTTGGTGTCTGAAGATTCATGGGAAATTTGGGATGTACTCAGAAGTCCTTTTGGAAGTATATTGGCATAAGAGCTCTTCTTTGGCTGCACTTAATTTCCTCTGTAGAGACATTTTACTCTTTTTTGGCAGAAATGACCTAGCAAGTGCTGTTTTGCTCTTAAACCTGGGAGTTAACCTGTTTAAACGAATAAGGAATGGACAAATTCAGAATTGATTTTCTCACTTGCTGCTGTTTTCATGTTTTATAATACTTTCTGAATGCTTTTTATGAGTCCCAACCCTAAAATTTTCATATGAAGTAGAAAAGCTTTTATTGTGGTCACTAACAAGAAACTGCACTTAGTATGATTTCATATTAAATGGAACTACTATTGTTTTCAGTGTTCTTTATCCCTATCTATTCAAAATGGCTTTGCCAAGAAAGTGTTTCCTGTTTTCAAAAATTTCATGATGCTTTTTATGTCCTTTGACACGCAAGTCCTCAGCCACCAGACTGTTATACTGCACCACAGGAGTGCTGCTGAGAAGGCTAGAAGGAGATACAGCTCTACAGGGAGTCACCCATATCATTGTTGATGAAGTTCACGAGAGGACAGAAGAAAGGTAAAACAGCCCGAACCGGTGTGGTTCTGTTCGTTGGGCATCGTCCCGCAAAGGGAGAAGTTGCCATTTCGATTCCAGGTCGAGGCAAGTACAAGAGGCAGTGTCACACATTTCTCTCCCCCTCCTTCTCCCTCCCTTCCCTTCTCTCTAAACATAAATAAATAAAATCTTTAAAAATAAGTAAAATGTATACAAATTTTAAAATTCTTAAAAAGAAAGGTGAAACAAAGATTTTCCAAATGCATACGCACACACATAAAATAAAGACATGGCAGAGAGAATTTTATTCTGCTTCCAACTTCTTAGAGTTAGTACAGGGTACAATGCGAAGAGAAGCCCTAAGTTATAAAGAGGAATCACTTTCCTAGTCTCCAGGGTCTAAAATACTGAAAATGCTAGGAGAACACGTGTTCGTCACTAGAAGTCTTCCTCTTACAGGAACATCATGTAAGAAGAGACAGCACCCTCCCGGCGTCATGCGGAGCTGGGCGCTGTACTTAGCAGGAATAACAGATGTAATGCATGCGGTAGCTGATGGGTTGGTCGATGTGGGCTTCGCTTGGTCATTCATTCACTCCTGACATCCATTCATACATTCGTGGAGCCTGTATTAAATGCCAAGTGATCTGTTAATTGCTGGGAATACTACAGTGGACAAGTGTACATTGTTCTCCTTTATCTCATGGTTTGGTAGGAAAAACAAATAATTACAAATTGGAATAAGTACTATGAAGGAATAAATGGGATGCTGTGTTTCGGGGACAGACCCAGGAGATAGCCAGGGATCATATGTCCGAAGAGATGACATTTAAATTAAAACTTGAAGTGGGAGAGGGAACAAGGGCAAGGCCAGTATTTGCAAGGGCTGCGGTGGGCGGGAGCCTCACTGGGGGTCCAGCAACGGGAGGGTACCACTGCGGCTGGTGTGCGGTGAGTGACAGAAAAGGGGCAGGTGGGAAAAGCAGGAGCGATATTCCACAGCCTTGTGCGTCATGAATAGTAAAGCATTTGGACTTTGTTTAAATGGAATTCGAAGATGTTAAAGGGTTGAGGCATAAAATCAAAATTCTCGGTATTTTAAAAGGAAGGTTCAAATAAATAAATGGCATTTATCATAGTTTGTCACGTGGGTCATGCTCCAGAGCTGTCAAAAAATAGTGGGAGCCCTGGCTGGTGTGGCTCGGTTGGCTAGAGCATCATCCCATAAACTGAAGGGTCATAGGTTCAATTCCCAGCCAAGGCATAATCCCAGATTGCAGGTTCCATTCCTGGTCAGGATATGTGCAAGAGTCAACTGATCCATGTTTCTCACATCAATGTCTCCCTGTCTTTCTCCTTCCCTTGCCCTCTCTCTAAAATAAAACAAATTTTTAAAAAAGAATTCCTAGAACAAGACAGTAAGTTTTCAATGATTATAAACACTGAGAATCTTTGAGGGGCAAATAATCTTATAGAGACTTCAGAAAACAGTGGTGGGAAAAATGGTAAGTAGTGTTATTTTGCAGCTAAATGTTTAAATGAAGATTTGAAAGATAAAATGTAACAATCACTGAATAACTTGGAAGAGGAAATGATAGCATTCAACCAGACCAATAATATTTAAATGATTGTATTATAAAAATAAATTTAAAATTTCAGGGGAAATTATATCCAGTTTAATTTTGAATATAATGAATATCTTTGTGTTTCATAATATTTATTCTCCTCCAAACTTAGAGAAACAAGCCTAGATAGCATTGGATTTAGTTCCTGGCTGCAAAAGTTTCTCAAAAGATTTTTATAAAACGTAATGACATAACAACAGTTAAAAATTCAAAATATATTTACATCTGAATAAAGAGAAATTACACACCAGAGAAGGGAGCACTTAATATAGGTTCCATAAAATATGAATGAGTGTCAAGAGTGAATGAAAGACTGAATGAAGCCCACATCGACCAACCCATCAGCTACAGCGTGCCTTACATCTGTTATTCCTGCTAAGTACAGCGCCCAGCTCCGCATGATGCCAGGAGGGTGTTAAGTATCTCTAATTAGATGATGTCCATCTAACAGGATGACTCTTCTAGTGATGAACATGTGCTCTATTAGCATTTTTAGTATTATAGACCCTGGGAAAGGAGTGTACAAATTACAAGAAAAAGTAAGGAATAATTGCTATCCTAGATTGAAAAAGACAGAAAATAGTAATCTAGGAACCAAGATCAGTAAGAATATAGCCAAGATTAAAGGTTGAATATAGGGCTTTGGTCAGGTAGTTCAGTTGGTTAGAGCGTCGCCCCAATAAGCCAAGGTTCAATCCTTGGTCAGGGTGTGTACAAGAATCAACCAATGGCTGCATAAATGAGTGGCACAACAAATTGATGTTTCTCTGTCCTTTCTATTGCTCTCTCTCTAATCAATAAATTTTTTTTAAAAATCAAAAGTAAATAAAGGTTGAATATAGAAAAAAATCAGTTATACTAGTTTTACAATTTTTAATAAATGTCCTGATTGTAAAGATAACATGATTATTCTAAAACATTTAGAAAATATTAAAGAAATGTCAAGAAAAAGAATTTCTTTCCCCTGTAAAATTGCTGATTATTGGGACTTAGGGGAGAGATGAGGTAAAGAATGATGCATCTCCACAAACATAGCTGGGATTATATAGTTTTGTGTGATGCTTTTGATCTAATAGCATGAACTATATTTGAAAATTATTATTAATAATTGCATAAGGAAATTCTAAAGTATGGATGTACCATAAATTACTTAAACATTTGCCTATTGCTTTGATTCCTGCTCAGGGCACATACAATAGTCAGCCAATGAATGCATAAATAAGTGGAACAACAAAAATCAAACTCTGTCTCTCTCTCCCCCTTCTTCTCTCTAAAATCCATAAATTAAAAAAAAATTGAAAACAAAGCAAAAAGCATTTGCCTATTACTATATTATTTTCCTTTTACTTAAAAAGAAAATAATCGTAAATGTAACTAAATTAGCTCATTTAATTAAGATTTGATTAAGGAGAACTAAGTAGTACAACAATATGTTGTCATCAAAAATTCAAACAATGCAGATAAGATGGAAGTCCCCCCTTAACACTTCCAAACCATTCCCAGCCCTGTCTCCAGAGATAATTACCATAATTAGATTGATGATATGCCCTTCTCTGCATTGGTATATTTTTATTTGGTTAGACATAGGTAGTTTGTTTCTTGGCTTTTTTTCTTACACAAATGATGTATTCATTTAGTAAGTCAGCACATTTTTATTGAGCGCCTATTATGTCCCAAGCATTGTTCTAGATACTGGGATAGTGAACAAAATAAACTCCCTGTCCTCGTACAACATATATCCTAGTGGGAGAACTCAGCAATAAGCAAGATAAATAAGTAAAATATAGAGATAAGTGCTGAGAATAGTAAAGGTAATATGAAATGCAAGGGAGGGGAGCCTTTGAAAATGTAAATAGGGTGGCTGGGGAAGGCCTGGCTGAAAAGGAAGGTATCTTTTGAGGGAAGTGAAGGAGCTACTCCTATGAATTCCAGGCAGATTTATAACATGTGCAAAGGACCTGAGGTCCATGCCTCAAGGACAGCAAGGAGGACAGTATGGCTGGAGCCAAGTGAATTAGAGGGAGAGCCATAGGAGATAGGTGGTGGGGGTCCACTGCATGTCACATAGCGCCTTGTCAGTGAGGACATCAATAACAAGTCACAGAAGGATTATGAGCAGAGGGGTAGCTCAGTCAGATTTATTTTTGTACAGAATTATTGGTCTATTGAGAATAGATTTCAAGGGCTGAAGCAGGGAGACCAGTTGGGATATTGCTATTCAATAGGACATATCATACTACAACTTGGGTTTTATTCACTAGCATTGTCATAGAAATGTCTTCATGTCAGTATCCAGAACTCTCCCTTATGCCTTTTATCTGCCTCACGTTATTCCACAGAATGGGTGATATTGTTATAATTAACCGTTTCTTGGTGGACATTTAGGTAGTTTCCATTATTTTACTACTACAAATAATGCCATAATGATTATCTTTGTATATGCCTCTTTATATACATGTAGATATTAAGAAATAGAATTAACCAGTGCAATGATAAATCCTATTGGTATTTTGATTACTACTACATTGATATCTTTTTAATATTAAGTCCTCACACCTAGGAACATGATCACATCTTTTTATGAATGTTATAATTGTTGTGACATACGTCTTACACATTCCTTGCTGAAAATACATCAATTTCATTGAACTTGTTTGATCCTCAGATGTTTCTTTTGTTTCCTCTAGTGACTTCCTGCTGCTAGTTTTAAAGGACATTGTGATGCAGAGACCAACTCTCCAAGTTATTCTGATGAGTGCAACTTTAAATGCTGAGCTATTTTCAGAGTATTTCAACTCCTGCCCAGTTATTACTATACCAGGTGATTAAAATGCATCATTAAATATGTAATGTTCTAATAAGCAAGTGAAATTATTTTAAAGTTAAAATGAAGTATAAATTGATAGGTATTAATTCCTCTCTCCAGAAAAGTGATTAGTTTGTAACAAATAAAATTATAACCATATAATAAAATCAATCAAGAGGCAACATTATGTCCAATTGTTGGGACATTTTAATTTTATATGCGTTGTTTTGAGAAGTCCAGGTTATTAGTGTTTCTAGCATTCCATTATGTTTAACCTAAACGTGTGAGGTTATAATGGTCATCTGTCATAAAGAAGTAAGTTGTATCTGTGTAGTGCATATTCTTTTGTTGCTGGATTCAGCTAAATTTCTGGATATTGGTCCATTCTGAGAGAGAGTGAAGTTGGGTAGCTTGTGTCTCCTTTTGGTGCCGTCTCATTGTGGGATTAAGTTATCACCTTGGGCTCTGGTTTATCCTTCCGCAGTTGATGGCTAAGGGACAATTCAGAAGCACTGACGGATGAATAAAATAGTCATGTTTGCTCTAGTTATAGAGAATATTGACAATGGATGTAAAGGAGAAATTATATTCTTGATATAGAGTACAATTGTTGAATATTTAAAGGTTCCCTGTGGGGAAAGAGGGGAGGATGGGGAAAGCGTAACAAAATTTTTAAAGGTAAAAAGTTTTATTAGTAAATGATCATCTTTTCACCTTCAGTTTTTTTCTTCGCTAACCAGAATCTATGCCTTCCAACCTCTATCATTAAAAACTGTTTTTTAAAAAATAATTTTTAAGACCACAAAACAAATCGTACCTTATTGGGCCAAGCTTTGTTTTAAAAAGAATTGTGCATTTTTAAACTATTTCAAGATAGTTGACAGGTATTCTGAGGGTTTTGTGGGGGTTTTTTTTCATTTTATTTATTTATTTTTCCAGGTCGTACATTTCCTGTTGATCAGTTTTTTCTGGAAGATGCAATTGCTGTGACAAGGTAAGAAAGACATTAATTAAGGTTTGGTGAAAGTCTTTGAAAATAGAATTATTATTTTACCTCAGAGTGCCAGGATACTAATAAATGTGTTAGTTTTTCCATCTGAGGATTTTATTTTCACCTTTCAGCAAATATTTATTGTACAAACTGTTTGCAATTTGCAGGCAGTATTGTATATTAGGAGTGCTGATCCTGGATTCCTAATGCAAACTACAGACTTTGGATGATCATGAGGGTCGGTATAGGTTCATCAGTTGTAACAAATGTACCTTCTAGTGGGAGATGTTGTCCACCCGGGAGGCTGTGCGTGTGTGGGGGCGAGGGGTGCATATGGGAAATCTCTGTTCCTTTTGCTCAATATTGCTGTGAACCTAAAACTGCTCTAAAAATGAAGTATTTTGAAAAATGACGAAGGGTCAAATATTTGAAGAATTTAACACGAATAAAAAAGTACTGATTCTGTAAACAGACTGCCAGTTTTAAATCCCTCTGCTTACTAACTGTAATATTGGTACCTCACTCTCTCTGTGACTCGGTTTCATCACATGTAAAATGGGTGTATTAACAGTAGCTGCTCCACAGGGTTATTATGAGGATAATGAATCAATACTTGGAGTTAATTTTTGCCAAGTGCTTCTTGACTGGTAGGTACATAGCAAGTGCTTTATAAATGTTACTTATTATTATCATCATCATTCTGCCCTCAAGAAGTTGCAGTATAGTTTGAGCGTTAAGATATCTATATAATTTTACTACTGGGTGGCAAGTGGTAATGTCCATTGGGTACAAATTTCTCTCCTTTGAGAGCCCTGCACCTTCTTCCTACCCTTTAACCTTGAAGATTCCCAGCGCTTTATCCTTGCACTCTTTCTTCTCACTATTAAACTGTTCCTTCGTTTCCTTAGACTTGTGTGATTTCCGCTGTCACCTCTGCCAGGAACTCCCAGATCAGTGTCCTCATTCCTGAAACCTGGGCTCCAGAATGAAAACACCTTGATGTCTGGTGCCATACCCTCAACTCAGAATTTTTCTTCTTCTCCCTGCTCCTTTCATTCCTGCTAAACCCCCACCCTAATTCCATATTTATTTAATGGTACCGTACTCAAACCAAAAATCCAAAAACAATGGCTCTCAAACTTAGTGTGCAATAAACATGCTTATAGACCTTATTGAAACTGGTACTTTATGGGCCCCATTCCACTTCCATTGAATGTGGCTGTGGGGAAATCACCTTTCAGCTAATTTACCTATCTTTATTCTCTGACGTTTTCAAGCTCACTGCCTCCAGAATTATCTTAAAATAAAGCCAAAAGCATCCCAGTGTTTCCCACCAGAATCCTGGACTGGTGGAAACATAGCACAGTAATTAGAAACAGAGCAGCAGTCTGCCGAATGAGCACATAAAATAGGTGAACATTTTCGTTCCCCTGCAGACCCACATACACAAAGTCATACTCCTTTGTCTTCCTTCCTCAGGTACGTGTTACAGGATGGAAGCCCGTATATGCGCTCCATGAAACAGATGTCAAAGGAGAAGCTTAAAGCAAGGCGCAACAGAACTGCATTTGAAGAAGTAGAGGAAGACCTTAGGCTGTCCCTTCACCTCCAGGATCAGGATTCTGTCAAAGACGCAGTGCCGGATCAACAGTTAGATTTCAAGCAGCTCCTGGCCCGCTATAAAGGTAATGTGCTTCCTGGGGGGGGGTATTACGGCCTTGCCAAAGAGACCTGCAGTTGACCACTGAACAACACAAGTTTAAAGTATGTAAGTCGGCCTATGTACATATTTTTAAAAATAAATACTATAAATGTATTCTCTCTTCCCTGTGATTTTCTGAATAACATTTCCTTTTAATACATATAGCACTCAAAATATGTGTTATGAACTGTTACCAGTTTGGCTTCTGGTCAACAATAGGCTATTAGTACTTAAGTTTTGGTGGAGTCAGAAGTTATAAATGATTTTCGACAGTGCCAGGGTGTTGGCACCCCTAACTCCTGCGTTGTTCAGGGTCACCTGTAGATTTTTCCCCCACCATGATCCTGAAGGAGAAAAATGTGGCTCTTATACATACATTGTCTTTAATTCATCAGAACAACCTTAAACATAGAAAAAGAGCAGTTGCAACGTGTATAAGATCATAATTGTTATTATATTTATCAGTGGGTTTTTTCTGATTTTAAAAGAAATATGTTTATTATAGAAAATCGGGAGACAGTAAAATATAAATTATGTTCTTCAGTGTTTTGTAATTTTTTTAAATCTCTTCATTTTTATTATTGACACTATTACCGATGTCCCCATTCCCCCTGCCTTTGCCCTCCTTCACCCAGCCCCCCCTTCCCCTCCCTCAGGCCGTCACCCCACTGTTGTCTCTACCCACGGGTTATGCATATATGTTCTTCAGCTGATTCCTTCTGCTTCTTTCACTCAGTCCCCCCGCCCCCCACCCTCTGGCAGCTGTCAGTCTGTAATTTTTTATTTTGATATGATTTCAAAATCAAAATTAAAGTTTGTAGGACTATACTTGTACAATGAACTCATATAACCTTTATCCCAGTTCACTAATTGTTGTTATTTTGCTTCATTTGTTTTATCATTTGCTCTGTATATATTTTTTCCTGAACCTTTTGAGAGTATTTTGCAGACAGGATGTTGCATAATTCCTAATATCTCAGTATGCATTTCCTAAGAACTAGAATATTCTGTTACATAAGCATAGGACATAATCAAAATGAAGACATTTAACTGACGCTATTACCTAATCAACAGTCCATATTCTAATTTGCCAGTTATCACAGTAATGTCCTTTATTGCTATTTTTTCCTGGTCCAGGGTCCAACACAGGATTACATATTGTATTTAGTTGTCATGTGCCTTTAGTTTTTTCTGATCTAGAAAATTTTCCTAGCCTTTATTTTTTTATGACCTTGACATTTGTTTTATGAGTTTGGACCAGTTTTGTAGAGACAAACCAAACCAGGTTTTATTTATCACGTTATCTTATTGAAAGAAAAAGCCCAACAAGCAGTAAAATTTATATTTATCCCTGTTGTTTTAGTTGCCTTATCTGGAGAGAAGAGGAGGTGATTTTCTTTTTTTATTATTGACCAAACTCCATTTGGTTTGTCTCATGTTTCCCTATGATTCAATTTAGGTGATGCTTTTTTTGGTTAGAAAACCACAGAAACAATGTCAAGTCCTTCTCAGTACATCTTATCAGGAAACACATAATGTTGGTTTATCCTATTATTGGCAATATTAATTTTGATCACTTTTAAGGTGATGTCAGCTAAGTTTTTCTCTTTTGTAGTTATTATTTATTTCCTTTATAGTTAATAAGTCATTTGTGAAGAGATATTTGAGACTTTTTAAATATCCTATAATATCCTCAAATTTTTACCCACGAGTTTTAGCATTATTCATGGGCTTTCCATATAACACTTGGAAATAATATTTCGAGGGTCCACCCGGTGCTGAGCATTTTTTATGCTATGTTGTTAGGTGCTCCCTCCTCCCATGTCAGACCCCACCCAGCTATTCTTTGTTCCTACATCATGTTCTATACGTAGAAGTTGGGCTGAACCCATAGAAACCCCAGGGTTACTGCTTTTCTGCTTTTTCTTTTTTCCTTAAATCCTAGACCAGAGATGGTCTCAGCTGCTTTTCCTTCCTTTTCCCTAGACTGCTCCCCCAACTGCCCTTAGTCCTTCCACCCCAAAAAGTGTTTGCTTTCCAAGGAGTAAGAGCCTCCTACCCCCGTTACTGCTTCCATAAGAGAAGGGACAAGTGAGTTTTCCTTTTTCTCCTTCCACCAAAGACTCTGGTCCCAATTCTCCAGGAAATGATAACATCAACGAATTAGGGCCTCGGCCAGGGTTCTGCTGTTTGGAAAGATGGGCAAATAGGATTTAGGGCCACGTGTCTTATCCTCTCTATACTTCAGGTTCCTGATCTATAAAATGGAGTAATTTGGGGTTTGAATAAGATAGTACCAATCACAGCCTAGTGCCCTGCTAGTAAGGACATATTTGTGATTCTAATTAAAATATGTGACTCAAAAGTTTGTGTTCTTTCTTCACATTTTACCAGCTGAGAATTCCCATTTCCTTATTCTCTTAAGTTATAGAACAGGAAAAATCCTTTTGGTTTTCCTTTTGAAATTTTAGAATTGTCTTTAAGAGCTATGACTGCATCTAAGCAATGCCTTTCTAATTTCAAGCATAGAGGTGACCACAGTTTAGAAAGCACTTCTGAGCATTCCTTTCTAAGGAAGGAGGATGGCAGGCTTGGGTCAGAAAACTTAGCTTTGCCGCTAGCTTCTGTACGGTGCTGGGCTGATTGCTTAGCTTCGCTGAGCCTCCCTTCCCCTGTTAGAGAGACAGATGGACAGACTTGATCTAGTTGATCTCAGTGCTCTTGCAGTTTTCAGAAAATTAAATCATGTTCCCAAGCTCAATTTTTAAAACTTTTTCTAGTTTTAAAAAAACCCAGTCCTTTGAACTATATGATTGATTAGTAAAAATTGCCAAAGTATTAAAACAATTTTTTTAAATGACTTTCACTTCTCTTCTTTTTTCAATTAGTTGATCCTTTCTCCTTTTTGAACAGTCTGGCTATTTGGAAAATTGACAAAAAGAAATGATTCCTTCTCTGCCTTCCACAACCAACCACACCCTTATTTGTGTAGCCTATTCCTTTCTGTTTGTGTTTGACAAATATATGGTTTACTCTGCCAGAAAAGCATTGCTTGGAAACTTTTTTCTTTCTTCAAACTTTACAACATTAATACAGGAAGCTTCCCTTTCTTGATACCAGCTACAGTTACTTTGTTCCAGCTAGGCTATATTTAGGGTGAGGGGCCTGGGAGGACCAAGAAGAAAGGGCAGCAGTCTCTGGAGGGTTAGTCGCCCCAAGAATATGCTATTCGTTTTCCAAAGAGCTGGCTGGGGCTTGTGGTACAACCCAAAGAACTGAGTATTTCACCAGGCCTCAGCTACGTTAGAAGGAAATTGTGGGCCCTTCACCTGAAAATCTATGGATAGACTTCAGAGGTGTTGGTGTAGCCATTGAAATCACATGTATTTTTCTGGGAAAGTTCATAACTTTTATCATTATCTCAAATGAACTGAAAGGTTAAGATTCACTGTTATAAAGATGCTGGTGGAAGTTGTGGTTTCTGTCCACTGATTTCCGTGGGTTAATGTTTCCTGGACGACTTTGATCTGATCTGACTCGTGCCTTGATTGAACCTGGGAGGGGATTCTAAAATGTGTTTGACTTGGAATTTTATTTCTAGGACTGAAATTGTCCACAAGTATGTGATGGATGAAAGAGGGGAAGAATGGGGGGGAGTGGCCTATCTGGGCCTTCCCAGCCTGCTCTTTGGGTTACTGTTCAAGCAAAAAGTACTTTCAGTGAGTGTGTATGTTCTGAGAAACTGAAAGAAAAAATTCATTTTAACTGCGTGAAATGTGTTAAAACACATCAACTGTAAACATCTGTATTATTAAATCACATCAAGACACTCACCTAGTTCATGGACATATTGTCTTTAATAAGGTATAACTATCCTTCTCGTTTTTACCTTTCTTTCAGGGGTTAGCAAATCAGTCATCAAAACGATGTCCGTCATGGATTTTGAAAAGGTCAACCTTGAATTAATAGAGGCCTTGTTAGAATGGATTGTGGATGGAAAGCACCCCTACCCCCCAGGTAACTGCTTGTTGTCTTCATTTATGTGGGAGGCAGCAGAAGGGAAGGGAGCTCGCTCGCTGGGATCATGGGCACTGTAGGGACAACTTCCCTTCCCGGAGCCCTGGCCCCTGCCCCGCCTCTCACCCCAGCTGTGTGCCACGTTGCTTATTAGGCTTTTTGAGGGAAATTTTACCTTTTAACTTTTGAGGTTCGCCCACTTTTTCACTCTGCACTCTTGCTCTCGACGAACAAAAAAATGTTAACAATACAAAGTCCCAAAGGAAGAAAGCTGAAAAGAAGGCCTGGATGATCCACATATTAGACACGCAGTCCTTGACTAAATGGGAGACGAGTAATGAGGTTTGAATCGCATGAAGGCTTTGCACATGGAGGCGACCGGGCATCGGGGTTAAGAGAACAGCTGTAGAATCTGATAAACTTCCCAGCTTAGGAACTCCATAACCTTGGGTAAAGTCCTTAGCATTTTTTTCTGTGCCTCACTTTTCTTGTTTGCAGAACGAAGACACTAAGAAATCCTCTTAGGTGAAGCTATTTCTGTGGTTAAAAGAAACCGCATGAAAAGCACTTAGCGCAGTGCCTGGCATATAGGTAGTGCCAACTAGATATTCCCCCTAATAATGATAATATTATATTTATCATCATGTGTATCATTATCACTGTTACTGCTACTGTTGCCGTAGCACAGCAATAACTGCTGTCCCCTAACTCACCGTCTCCCCATCCCTTTGGCCTTCTCTACTTCATGTGAGTCCCTTATCCCCAGAATGAATGGGCCAGGTCTTCTGAATCCTTAACTGAATCCTTCATATCATTCAGGTTTTTGTCACATGTCTTTTCTTCAGAGAAAAGCCTCCTCTGGCTACCCTATCTGTTGCCTTGCCCTCGCTACTCCATTACAATGTCCAAAAATGATTTTTATTTTTATTATAGCCCTTACCATTATCCAAAATTACAAGTTCTGCTTACTGACAGTCTCCTTCAATAGAGTATAAGTTCCTTAAGAATAGGATTTCTTGTGTACCATTGTATTCCTCAGACCCCGGAGCAGTGCCTGGAATATTTAGGTATGAAGTCTGTATTTGTTGCATGAATAGGTGCGGTCCATACCGAGCGATCATTAAGTTCAATAAGAGATCAAACAGTTGCATTACGTGCTCATTACTCAGTGCTTAAGAGGCGGGAGTGGCTGCCCTTCTCTGCTTAGACCAGCGAGTTGTAACCTCCTTCATCTCGTGATGCACATAAATTACTGAAATTCTGTGGCACGCCAGAAAATATCTTTTTTGTCCATCTGGCAAAAAAATAAGTATAACTGTAATGGACTTAACAAAAATAATAATTAAAGTAATTACCTATACTTTTTGTTCCAAAGTGACTTTTTAAAAAATCAGGTGCCAAGGTTCAAAGCTTAATTCTGCCACCTATAGTTATGTGACTTTGTGTCCTCATCCAAAAATGAAAATACCCTGTACTTCATAGATCTCTTTCAGAAATGAAATAATAAGTTACTTTTAAAACAATACCTGGCAATCTTACCAAACTGGAAAAAAAAAAAAATCAGGTGCTTATACTTGTATATAAGGGTTTCTGATACCAAGAATTAACCAATCAGATGCAGCCTTGTGATGCAACATGACCAATAAAATGCAACTATATTTATGGTTCAAGACAGGGCATTTATACCAGATATCTATTGTTGTGTTGGCTTTTGTCATTTTTTTATTTGACAATCTAAGGGAAAAGAGGTCAACGCCCCTGACTAAATAGTCAGGTATTGCACACTTTAAAAATTCTTGCAGCATACCAGTTGAAAATCGCTGGCTTAGACTTTAATCATTATGTGGTAATTTCTAGAGATATGTGAGCCACATAAAAATTATTAAACTGCCTTGTTTCTGATCTCTTGGCAAGTAGCTAATGTTGGTTAATGCATTATCATCAGACTTAATATCATATTTCATAAAGAAAATGACTTACTGAAAAAAATCAAGAATAGCAGCCAAAAAGAAATATTAGAAAATTATTGCATTCAAAGCCAAGTAGAGGTAGTGTTTAAGGAGTCAGTGATATATTTGTGAATATTAGAGATATCCCTGATACCTATGGCCAAGCTATGAGGGCAAGACAGATCAAAAGGCATGCAAAAATAGAGACAAAATATTTCCTTCCATCTGTATAGATTATCTTACCACTCTTAAATGTGGTATTGTAACAGGGAGGAGCATGTAGTATGTAGTGGAAAGAGCACAGATCAGATGCCAGAAACCCTAGCTAGTGTCCAAGCTCCACTCATATTAATTCTGTGACCTGGCCAAGTTACAAAGTCATTTTAAATGTACGAAATGTTTAGAGCTTTGCTAGTAATGCTTGTATAACTTAAGACATTGTATTTTCCCACACTTCTGTTTTTCCTGCTATAGAAAGATAATATCCTAGTCATTTAGTAGTCATTAAGTCAGAAAATATAAAAGTTTCTTATCTATTAAATCCTTGGAGACTTTACAAAGAAAACTGAGGCCCTGTGCTGGTGTGTCTCAGTGGAGTGAGCGCTGGCCTGCAAACCAAAAGGTCGCTGGTTTGATTCCCAGTCAGGGCACATGCCTGGGGCACAGGCCAAGTTGCCAGTTGGGGGGCGTGCAATAGGCAACTGATCGATGTCCCTCTCTCTTTCTTCCTCCCATGCCCTCTTTAGAAATGAATAAATAATATCTTTTCTTAAAAAATTCAAAAAAGAAAATTGAAAGTGAAACATCTCAGGTTATGTTTTTTAAATATAAAACAGCTCCATAATTTGTTAGTTTTTCCTTTTCTGCATCTATCAGATTGATTATTTTTATATACCCAGGTGCTATACTTGTATTTTTACCGGGATTGGCAGAAATCAAAATGCTTTATGAACAACTACAGTCTAATTCTCTTTTCAACAACAGACGTAGTAATCGGTAAGTGAATTGCTTTCCTTCATCGTCTATTGCAGTCGCATGCATATGCGAAGATGAGCAGCCAGAAAGGTCTTTTTAACAGGCATCACCATCTTTAGATTCTGGTGTCACTCCTCAAGAATATTTTGTTTATGCCAGCTGGAAATAGACAAACCTGCCTGTTCCAGGAAATCAGTCATTCCCATTCCATTCAATAAAAATATTTGTCTTCACTTAGCACAGTGACTCAGCAAAATTGCGTGTCATCTCCGTTGCCAGATACCGGGGATGGGAGAAGCCAATGTTAGTAACAACAGAGAAATGCTGCCATTTTCAGGAGGAAAAATAAATTTTCAGTTGATCCTATTTTGGGGGCAAGAAACGTTGGGTGTGTCTTCTTATTGAAGAGACAACTGCTTGACAGGTGAACACTCCCTAGAAATATAAGAATGAAATTTCTAGTATGCATCACTGTCTCTGCCTCTCTTGCTCTGGATTTAAAGGTAGGGAAAAAATGATTCTTTGCTGGTTAGTGTGCTCTAGTCCTGTCACTTGCAGAATGTCAACTGTTTTGTCCTCTGGATTGTTTACTACTAAGTTACACTCCAGTTTTCCCAAGTAGATGCAAGGTTTTTAGTTCACAGAACTGAGTAAGTCCTTCGTAAGGATCAGAAGACCCTTCCCACTTAGAAGAGCTGGGCCCTGAGGACAGGTGGTAGGCAGCTGCTGATCCTTGGTACGGCAGTTGAATAGGAACCCACGTACTAAAATCCAGTTTCAGTGCTTCATGCTGGAACACTAAACGTGCTTCTGTTGCCTTTCAGGTGTGTTGTTCACCCACTGCATTCGTCTTTATCCAGTGAAGAGCAGCAGGCTGTGTTCATAAAACCTCCTGTGGGTGTAACTAAGATAATAATTTCCACTAACATTGCTGAGACATCCATAACCATCGATGATGTTGTCTATGTCATCGATTCTGGGAAAATGAAAGAAAAGAGGTATTCTCTTTGGGCAGTATCAGGGAGGGGCTAAGGATGCCTTAATTAGAGTGGCACAGCTCTTAATAGCTAATGGTGTTCAACCACAGATTACTGTTTTAAAAAGTACAAAACTGTGTGTGGATATATGAGTGAGTATACAGCCAGACCATAATCTTAAAGTGAAACAGAGATGGAAAGTTTAAGGTTCTATCTTGGAAGTAATTAGTTTTCCTCTCTTTTTTTTTTAATATGATTTGCTTGTGCTTGAATGAAATAGAGTTCATATGTGTTCATTAGTTTGATATTGGCAGTCATTTCACAATGTCTACATATATCAAGATATCACATGATACACTTAAATATATATAATTTTTATTTGTGAAATATAAATAAAAATGAAAAAATTTTTTAAAAAAGAAAATTAAATAAAGAGACGATATGTAGTAACATTCGATACCATTTAAATTAGCGCTGTGCTTCCACCAGGGACCCAACTGTCATAGAACACAGAGGACCCTGTGTCCGTCCCTGGAAGTAAGGTGGTTCATCTAATCTGTCCATTCTAAATAGCATCTTGACCATGCTTTTACAAAAGAACTCTGTTTACATTTTCTTTTCCTTTATAGATATGATGCCAGCAAGGGGATGGAAAGTCTAGAGGATACTTTTGTCTCTCAAGCCAATGCTCTGCAAAGAAAAGGTCGGGCAGGTCGTGTTGCATCTGGGGTCTGCTTCCATTTATTCACCAGCCATCACTTCAATCACCAGCTTTTAAAGCAGCAGCTTCCAGAAATACAAAGAGTGCCATTGGAACAGCTCTGTCTAAGGTACATCCATGTTTTCTTTTTCTTAGAAAGAGACGTTTTTCTAAAAGTATACAAAGAGCCCTTCCCAGTGTGACTCAGTCGGTTGGGCATCATCCTACAAGGGTCCCTGGTTCAATTCCCATCTAGGACACATGCCGAGGTTGCAGGTTCAGTTCCCGGGTGGGGCACATACAAAAGGCAACTGATCGATATTTCTCTCTCACGTCGACATTTCTGTCCCTCTCTTTCTCTTTCCCTTCCCCTCTCTTTAAAAGTAAATAAATAAATCCTTAAAAAAAAAAAAGTGGACAAAGAAAGAACTTTCCAGTTTTGCCTTCCTTTACCGTTCCTTTAACTTTCCGCACATAAAGATCTCTTACATTGCAGAGGATGACCCTAAAATAGACTATAAGTATATATTAGTAATCATAAAAGTAATCTTAACTTATCAAGAAATGAGTTAGAGGTACCACCAATATTAAATCATCACAGGGAAAAATCTACAGCTTCATTAGCAATTATAGCAAAGTGAACAAAAACTACTTGAAAACACCATTATTTACCAGATGAACAAATAAAAATAAATATCATAAAATGGAATTTAATAAATGAATTATCAAACTCAATGTTATTGAAGCTGGGGATCCCATGGTTCAACCTTTCTGCAAATTTGCTTGGTATTATACAAGAACTCTAAAACTACCCATGCCTTTTGGCCCAGTCATCACTTTGAGGGAATGTGCCCATAAAATAACGCAAAGGAAAAAAAAGTACTTGTGCACAGATGTTATAGCTCCTTTTTAGGCAGCAGATTTATTTTGAGAGCATTGATTTGCCAGGGCTTGGGCTAAGCACTAGGGATACTGTGGGATACCAGACACAGTCCCTGTTTTCAGCTGTTCATGGTCGGGTCTTAAGAAACTGGGCAGGCAGATACGTTGAACTCAGGCCGTAGCAGAGCAAATGAAGAGCAGGGAAGGGACTTGAGAGAGCTTTGGAAGTTGATTGACCCTTGAGGGAGGATGAGAGAAGGGGAAGTGTAGTATATGTAGCACATACGATTTAAAAACAACTCAAATACAACAGTGGGGAAATAGGTAAATTATATAGACCAACGTGGTTCTTTTTTTTTCCATTCAAAATTTAAGTAAGTGGATTACAGGCAATGCATGTGTTAAAGTGAAACAGCTACGTGATTTCAGTGGGAAAAAGCTTGATACCAAATATGTGCATATTAGTAAAATGTAAAATTGTATGTGTATGGGTTCACAGCTTAAAAAGGAAATACAGGGGTGGGAAAAAGTAGGTTTAGAGTTGTTTGTATGGAAATTTGAAAATTTATAGAGAATTTTATTCTAAATTTCAGAAGTTTCAGAACCTGAAAATGTTTCTGCTGTTTATTGCTGGAGAATAAGAAGGCAAAAAAGATTTTAGAAAAATTTAAATTAGCGTTGTTTGGTTTATGAAAGCATATATCTAAGAAATTATAAATTATTTTCATTTAAGAAAGAAGCCTACTCCTTGAGGTGATCCCACCAGAAATAAAATTGACAATTTTTTTTTCCAGAATTAAAATTTTAGAGATGTTTAGCACTCATACCCTCCAGTCCGTGTTCTCTCGGCTCATCGAACCGCCGCACCCTGATTCTCTTCGTGCCTCAAAAATACGATTACGAGACTTGGGAGCATTAACTCCGGATGAAAAACTGACGCCCCTCGGGTATCACTTGGCCTCTCTGCCTGTGGATGTGAGAATCGGGAAACTGATGCTGTTTGGGTCTATCTTCCGCTGCTTGGATCCTGCTCTCACCATTGCTGCCAGCTTGGCTTTTAAGTCTCCTTTTGTAAGTAAACAACGTTCATCTAAACGAGAGTCTGTGGGTCTCTATGGGGACCACGGGGGCTGCAGGGTTATTTGAGCCCCCTAAAAATTTTCTCGTAGGTTGTATGTGAATTTTCCAGGGTGTAGTGTCTATAACTTCTATCTTATCCTCAAATAAATCCATGCCCCAAATAAAGATTAAGAACTGGAGATCCAATTTATTAAAATAATCTAAATGGATTATGATTTTTACTATATCGACTATAGTTGCTCATTATAGAAAAATAAAGGAATGCAACCAAGTAAAAGGTGTCCCTGCAAGATTTTACCACGCAATAAAATACATTGGACCACTTTTTTAAAAACAGCTTTATTGACATATAATTCATCCAAAGTGTACAATTCAGTAGTTTTTAATATTATGCAGTCATGGCCATAGTCACTTTTAGAATGTTTTGTCACCTCATAAAGAGACCCCATAGTTATTACTCCCCAGTTCCCTTCCAGTCCCCGCCCCGTCCGCACCAGGCCTAGGCAACCACCAGCCTACTTTCTGTCTTCATAGATTTTCCTCTTCTGGACATCGAAGAAATAATATAATATATGGTCTTTCGTGACTGGCTTCTTCACTTAGCATATGCTTTTTTGTTTGTTTTGTTATTATGTTTTTGCATAATGCTTTTAAGATTCATGTATGTTACAGCATGTATCAGTACTTCATTCCTTTTGTGAACAAGTAATACTCCTTTGCATGGATAATACCACATTTTGTTTATGCATTCAGCACCTTATGGATGTTTACAGCTGTTTCCACCTATGGCTAAAATCATTCACATATAAATTTTTATGTGGACCTATGTTTTCAGTTGTCGTGGGTCACCTAGGAGTGAAATTACTGGGTCAAATGGTAACTCTGTATTTAACTTTTTGCAGAATGGAACTTCCAGGCTGTTTCCAAGTAGCTGGCGTATTACATTCCACCAGCCTTTTACCAGGATTGCAGTTTCTCTGCATCCTCACCAACACTTCTTATTCTCTGACTTTTTTATTATAACCATCCCAAGGGGTGTGAATTTATGTTTTGATTTGTATTTTCATTATGGCTAATGATATAAAAGATCTTTTAATTTGCCTATGGGCCATTTCTATGTCTTCTTTCAAGAAATGTCTACTCAGATCCTTTGCCCATTTTTTAATTGGGTTATTTGGGGGGTTTTTTTCATTATTGAGTGGTTAGAATTCATTATATATTCTGGATACAAGTCCCTTGTCAGATAAATAATTTGCAAATACTTTGTCCCATTCTGTGGGTTAATTTTTTTTAATAATCTTTGTATATCTTTTGAAACACAAAAGTTTTTAATTTTGATGAAGTCCAGTTTATGTAATTGTTGCCTTAGTTAAAAATCCATTCCCAAATTCAAAGGCATAAAGATTTATCCCTCTGTTTTTTCCAAGAAACTTTATAGTTTTAACTTGTCCATTATGGTCTTTGGTCCATTCAGAGTTCACTGTTGTACATGGCGTGCAGTAAGAATCCAACTTCATTCTTTTGCATGTGACTATTAGGTTGTCTGTTCAGTTGTCCCAGCACCGTTTGTTGAAGACTATTCTTTCCCCATTGAATGGTCTTATTGGGCTTGTCAAAAATCAATTGACCACAAGATACCTGGGTTTATTTCTGGACTCAATTTTATTCTATTGAGTACCACACTGTCTTGATTACTCTAGTTTTGTAGTTAGTTTTGAAGTCAGAAAGTGTGAGTCCTCCAGCTTTGTCCTTCTGTTATTTTGTTGAGGATTTTCATATCTGTATTTAGAATAGATACTGCTCTGTAATTTTCTTTTTCTTGTAATGTCTTTGTCTGCCTTTGATATGAGTAATATTGACCACATAAAATTATTCTTCTGGATTTTTTTTAAGAATTTATGAGGAATTAGTATTAATACTTCTTTAAATGTTTGGTAGAATTCAGTGGTGAAGCCACCTATGCTTTTCTTTGTGGGGATTTTTTGATGGCTAATCCAATCTCTTCACTTGTTATAGGTCTCTTCAGATTGTCCATTTCTTTTTGAGTCAGTTTTGACAATTTGTTATTCTAGGCATTTGTCCATTTCATCTGAGTTTTCTAATTTATTAACATACAATTATTCATAGTATTCGTTTATACACGTTTTATGTCTTTAAATATATAATCTTTATTGTATTTTTTTCATTACCATTTAGTCCCGTTAAACTCCCCGCACCCCAACAATCACCAGATTTTTATTTCTGAGAGGTTGGTAGTAATGGCCCCCCTTTCATTTCTGATTCTAGTAACTTAAGACTTCTCTGTTTTTTTCTGGTCAACTTAGCTAAAGGTTTATCAATTTTACAGATGTTTCTAGAGAACCAGTTTTTGACTTAATTGATTCCCCCTATTGTATTAATTTCTGTTCCTTTTTATTTCCATCCTTCTATTTGCTTTAGGTTTAGTTTGCTCTTCTTTTGCTAGTGTCTTAAGGTAGGAGGTTAGGATATTGATTTGAGATCTTTCTTTTTTAATGTAGGTACTTATAGCTATACATTTTCCTCTAAGGACTGATTTAGCCGCATTTCATAATTTTGATATGTTTTATCTTCATTTTAATTGATCTTAAGTATTTTCTGATTTTCTTTTTTAGTTCTTCTGTGACCCATTAGTTATTTAGTTATTTAGGCATGTATTCTTTAATATCCACATACTTGTGAGTTTCCTAATTTTTTTCCTTATTGATTTCTTATTTCTTTCTGGGATGGTCAGAAAACATACCTTATATTATTTCAGTCCTTTAAAATTTATTAAGCTTTGAATTATGGCCAAGCAGATAGTCTATCCTGGAGGGTATTTTATGTGGATTTGAGAGTGGATATTCTGCTATTGTTGAGTAGTGTCACTCTGCCTTTATTTCCGCCGTGGCTTATCTCAGAGAGATAGGGGAGTAGGTGAATGTAGCCATCTTCTTCAGTTTTAATGTTATCCTTCATGGGATTCTTAGCACATAGATCTGCAAGATCTTAGTTCGGCCCCCTCATTTAACAATAAATGACAAAAACAAGGACCAGAAAAGGTGACGTCGCTTGCTTAGGGATATATAGTTCAGTCAGTATTATTGCGAGTCAGACCTCCACCTCAAATCATCTAAATAAACCTCTCACTGACTGTTTTGTTTTATAGAAATATTAGAAATATTGATGTCATCCTTAGTCTAAACTAAGCCCTTATCCTTTGCTGGGTTATAATATGTTTATCTCCCAAGTATAATCCTTTTCCCACTGGCCCTCCCAAAAAGGAAGGTGTTAGCTATGAAGGTGTTTAAATATACAGAAATTAGAGGGAAGCACCAGTTGGTTTAAAATGATTCTTGGCAGTGTTTTAGCTAGGGCCTTGTTTTAGTTTGTTAGGAGGAGCTACTGCAGCTCATGCTGGTGTCTTTAGTACAGGTGTGTTGGGTGGGGGGGAAGCACTGAAAATTAGGTTCTCAACTAATTTTACAAATTCATAGGGAAAGGAGGACCTGTGAGCATTATAAAAAATAGAAAGAAAACATTAGTTATGGGTATAGAAATAAGGGGGGCTCAAGTACAAAATGTAAGAGTCTATGAAATAAGGGTACTCTAGCGTTAGAATTTTTGATTTTAGATCTAGCTTTTAGAATGAGTGGCTCTTTGATGACATCTTGCTACTGGGAACCTAAAGACCCAGCAGAGCTTATTTTGGGTGGGCAGAGAGACGCACAAGGACAGATAAGTGGTAGCTTGCCCTTGACCAGGCAATTGCCACCCACTGAGTTCCCTTTGTTCCACACAAAACACTCCCCAAGGCACCTGGCTTCAGCAGTGGGAAAGCCCCTGTGAAACCCAAGAAGAGGTGTGCACTTCAAACCTGCTGTTCCTCATTTAGGTATCCCCCTGGGATAAAAAAGAGGACGCTAACCAGAAGAAGTTAGAATTTGCATTTGCAAACAGTGATTATCTGGCCCTTCTACGAGCATACAAGGTAAGTATATAGCCTCCTAGCTGAGTTTTATTTCCAGAGTTGGCGCTAAAGACAGAGGAAGTTCATTTTGATTTTCTCCATAATGTAGGGATGGCAGCTAAGTATGAAAGAAGGTATGCGTACAAGTTACAATTACTGCAGACAAAACTTCTTGTCAGGAAGAGTTCTTCAGGTGAGTCCTTTCTGTGGCAATTTGTTGTCATTCATTCTCTACTGTAGCAGCACATCCGAGAGTGTTGCAATGTTATCTTGCCTGTCCTGCGTTGACAATGAAGATGTCATTTCTGGAATATTCTTAGCTTTACCAGCTGTGTGAAACAGACTCCTGAACTATGTATGACATCAGGCATTCTGAACTAACCCTTTAACTGGCCCATTTTCCCTTTTCAGTGAACCTGTGTTCATTTACGCGTATATGGAGGATAGGGGACCATAGGCACTCTGAAGGGTTTTTTTGTGAAAAACTGTGGGCTGTGAAAGAATTCACAAAAAGAAGGTGTACAGAGTCTTTATTCGCTCTCCAAGAAAGGAGAGGGGCATGGTGTGGAGAGACACCAGCACTGAGGGCTCGGGGCTTTGAGCTTTTTTTTTTTTGGTACTGGATTATAACTGGGTTATAAAAAGGGTGCGGAGGTTGCTGCTGTGTGGCCCCCGGCCTGTTGGGGAGGCTGTGTGAGGCTGCAGTTTGTTCCAACGTTATATTCTGCCTGTGGCTGTCGGGAGCAGGTCAGTCACGTTTTGATGTTTTGTTCCTGCTCTCCAGTCATTTGCAGTCCTGGGGACAAAAGCTCAGGAGAGTAAAATGGCAGTCATGTTTAACAAGGTCATAGGCCTGCTCAGCAAATGGCGCCATGATAGCAAATGGGGCTGACTTTGTCCTTTCAAGTTTTTTCAGTAATGTTACCAGGCATTCTTAACCTGGACCCATAAACCCCTGAAATTGTATACAAAATCACATGCTCTACATATGTGCCTTATCCTGGGAGAAAGGAATCGTAGCTTTCAGCAGATTCTCCAAGTGGCCTATGACCACCCCAACCCCTTATCCTCTCCACAAAACCAAAGAATGAATACTGAACCAGATTTTCTTTATTGGTTTTTACTATGTCCATCAGACGCCATTATGTCAGTAATGAGTCCACAGGAAAGAGAGAGGTTTACCATCTACTGGGTAGTCACAGCCAGGGCTCTGTCCTCTGTTATGGCAGTGTTTTAGGCTCCTTTCCAAAATGGTAGAAGTCAGATACTGAGGGTGCACATCTTTGCAAAGCACCTACTTTACTCAGAGAGTTTGAGGCTTAGGAGGGGGGAGAACTCTACTTTCATATTAAAAGATGTCCTGGAGTAGAACACAAAATTGTTGTTCTTAGTACTTACCAATACCTGACTTATTTATGTATCTCTGTATCCCAGAAGCTCCAGCAGGGCAGACACCTTGTCTGCTCTGTTCAGTACTGTATCCCCAGTGCCTTGGCAGTGCTTAGCACATAGTTGATGCTCAGTTAAGATTAATTGAATAAGTGCATGCATCCCAGTATTTGCCTTCAATTCCTTCAATTTCATCTGCCTTTACATTGAAAGCAATAGTTTTTCAATCCTGGCTGCACATTAGATTCACCTAAGGAGGCTTTAGAAAAAGTAAAAAGGCCCAGGTTTCACCCCTTGCCACTTACATCTGGATCCTCAGGGGTCGGGCCTTGGCATCTCTTTATGGTCATTGTTGTCGGGTTGACCAAGTAATTCAAATATGTAGGGAGAGTTGAAAACCACTAATCTAAAAGATATTTATATGTAAAATGCAGTAATAAATATTTCCTCAAGTCATTAAGATTTTTAAGTATAGCCCTGACTGGTGTGGCTCAGTGGATTGAGCGCCGGCCTGTGAACCAAAAGGTCACCGTTTCAGTTCCCTGTCAGAGCTCATGCCTGAATTGTGGGCCAGGTCCCCATGTGGGGGCGTGGGAGAGGCAAATGATTAATGTTTCTCTCCCTGTCTTTCTTCCCCCCTTCCCCTCTCTCTGCAAGTAAATAAAATCTTTTTTTAAAAAAAAGATTTTTAAATATAAAATTATCTTTCTGTTAAATTACATTTTTTGTTAAATTTATTTTTCTTCAGGATATATGTAGATTTTGCTGTACTCTCTGAGGTCCACAGAGTTCCCTCTTTTCCCTGAATTCTAGCTTAGATTATAGTATTTTTATTAAGATGTCAGTAAAAAGTATATATTTATTCATGCTATATTTAACTCCTAGTTATAGTTTTCCATGTTATCCATATGTACTTGAGATATTCCAAGAAAATACTTAAATTGTCATCAAAAGACAGGATAGTGTTAATTAGCTATGTTCCTTTGATTCCTTTATCTCCTTCCCTATTGCTGCTATACATCCTGTATTTGAACAGAAGCCAGAGGAGAAGAAGGGTTGGGCTTTTCTTTCTTACACTTTGCTCAGCTACAAAAAGGAGTGTCTAAATCTAAACCACGTAGTAATGCCCCTATTCCTAGGAAAAGATGTGAGCCAGCGAGACCTCAAGGTAAGAGAAGGAGGAAAAGTTCTGAGGTGGATGTTCTGCAATACGAATGCAGAACTAACCACTCTAGGCTCAGGTGAGGAACCGAGGAGACCTGAGCAGAAACGCAAGACGGGAAAACCAGACAGTGTCACAGCACATGGAGTTGGGGTTCCAAACAAAGTAAAATACATTTTTTTTCTGTCCTAAGAATTTTCAGGAATACCAGACCTACCCAAACTCCAATGAACACAATTTTAAAAATAAGTGATCTTCCAGTTTTTCGTATTTGTAAATTTCTGTGTAACCGTTTCACTCTCTCTGCCGGTTTTGCACACATGTAAACTGCCTTTTTGGAAATGGCCTGTTTGATGAACCCATACAAACCTCATTACTGTCATGGAAAGAATGCATTTTTGCCTCATTCATCATTGTCAGACTGTCTACACTTACCTTTCCTATGTTGATGCCTCTCTTTAAAGATTTTTTCCACTTCCTTTAGGAAATGGCCAGCCTGAAACGACAATTCACTGAACTGTTATCAGATATAGGCTTTGTGAAGGAGGGACTCAGAGCCAGGGAGATAGAGAAAAGGGCCCTTGGAGGAGACGGTATCCTGGAAGCCGCTGGAGAAGAGGTGAAGAATGTGTGATTAGTTCTTCTTTCCCTTACTTAGCACATGAACAGTAATTTAACTCAGGAACACTGTGGGCATCCCTCACATCACGTAAGCCCTGTGAGCAGTGGGTTCGTGCCATTCTTGTTTTCCTCTTCCCGCAAGTAAGTGTCAACTCATACTCATTAAAACGGAAGGGTGTTCCTGTTCATCGTTGCCACTGTTTTCGTTTTTTAAATTTCACACTTCTTCTTGATTAAGTCCTTAAGAAGTAGAATAGACTTTCCAATAATGTCACAGCACACTTTTCCCAACCAAGGGTAGTTTTTTGTACAATTATAGCAGGGGTCCCCCAACCCCCAGGCCCCGGGCTGGTACTGATCCGTGGCCTATTAGGAACCAGGTCGCACAGCAGGAGGTGAGCGGCAGGCAAGTGAGCAACTTCCCATCGCTCACATTACTGCCTGAGCGCCCCGCGTCCTGTCAAATCAGCGGCAGCAGTAGATTTTCGTGGGAGCCGAGTTCTATTGTAACTGCGCATGTGAGAGATCAGGTTGCATGCTCTTTATGAGAACCTAATGCCTGATGATCTGAGGTAGAGCTGAGGCGGTGATGCTGGCGCTGGGGAGCAGCTGCAAACACAGATGATCATTAGCGGAGAGGTGTGACTGCACAGAGACCAATGGATAATAAACCCATTGCTTGCAGACTCATATCAAAACCCTATCAGTGAGTGGCAAGTGACAATTAAGCTGCATCTTGTGGCAGGCTATAAAGCCATCCCCTCCCCGCACCCCAATTCCATGGAAAAATTATCTTCTGTGAAATCAGCCCCTAGTGCCAAAAAGGTTAGAGACCTAAACTATAGGAAGAATGCTTCTAGATGAACCTGATGCCACTCCGTTTTAAGTGAAGTTAGTCCTTGTTGGAAATTATGTACATCTTATGAACCAGACTCCTTCTCTTCACTGCTTCTTAGGAACACTGGCTTTGTAACTGCTTTGCAGAAATCTGGGAAGAGTTATCATGGGCTTCTTGGAGTAGGTCCTATGTGAATGTGTTCTAATAGATTTATTTTTTACTTAGAAAAATAATTTTTCTAGCACAGGGATAGAAGTTTAATACTTTTGTTTAAGATAAAAAACAAATGAAATGGTAAATTCCAGGGCACAGACAGAAGTAGCCATGTTACTTATAAGATTAATGCTACATTTCTCTTATAGGCAAATTCAAATGCTGAGAACCACAAGCTGATATCAGCGATGCTGTGTGCTGCTCTGTATCCAAATGTAGTGCAGGTAACAAAAACATTATTCCTGGATTCTCCAACTACTTGTTTGATTTGTAGCCAAGGGATATAGTTAATTCATACATATTAATCATTGCAAAGACATACACACACACAGCCTTTTAAATTTAGTATACATTTCTAATCCTTCAATTCCTTAAATCTGTTTAGATGCATTGTTCAAGAGCGTTTATTGTATAAAATGAGTTGCTTAATTAATCTTTCTAACATATTATGGCATTCCAGGAATTAAAATGGACATGTATGTCATTTTCTTAGCTGACCTATACATAACTAACTTTCTTTGTACATAAAAACTTGACGCTACTACGTTTCCTCTTTGCACTCTAACCCGGACTGAAATTAGATAAGAACAAAATCAAACAAGTCAGTGCTTTGCCATGGGGCCACCTGTGTCCCCTCTTCTGAAAACCCCCTTTAAGGCTCTTCCCTGAGTTTTGGTTATCCAGTCCTTTGTCACCTTAGAATTTGAATTTATCAGAGTACCAAATTATTTCTCTTTTAAATTTTTGTTAAATGCTCAGTTGACATCCACTGATTAACTTATGGTTCATTTTCTGCTAGTACTTGCATGGTTTTCAGATCATTTGAAATTTACTCTAAAAGAAATCATCTGGGCGCTGGCTGGTGTGGCTCAGTTGGTTGGAGGGTCATCCCGTAACTGGAAAGCTGTGAGCACATGTCTAGGTTGTAGGTTTGGTCTGGCTGTGTGAGACCCGTGGTCCAGGTGCTGTGTTCAGGGGGCAACCAGTCGATACTTCTCTCTCACATCCATGTTTCCCTCTCTCTCTTCCTCTCTTTCTAAAAAACAATGAAAAATTGTCCTTGGGTGTCATCCTGCAAAGCGAAAGGCTGCTGGTTTGATTCCCAGTCAGGCCACGTGCCTGGGTTGTAGGTTCTGGGTGCATGCGAGCAGCAACTGATCAAAGTTTCTCTCACATCGATATTTCTCTCCCTCTTTTTCTCCCTCCCTTCCCCTCTCTCTAAAAATAAATAGGTAAAATCTTTGGGAAAAAAGTCCTTGGGTGCGGATTAAAAAACATATTACCCTCACCCAATCATTTGGGCTCTGACCGGGCTCAGTGGGTAGAGCCAATTTTGGGGTTTCAATTCTCAGTCATGGCCCTCCCCCCAAAAGATAATTTGGAACAAAATTATGGAGACAGTAAAAATAAAACCAGGGGTTGGTGGGGGATGAATTGGCAGAGCACCAATTTTTAGGGCAGTAAAAATACTGCATGATATCATCATGATGGATACATGTCATTATACATTCACCCAAACCCATAGAATGTACAACACCAAGAGTGAGCCCAAGGTAAACTGTGGGCTTGGGGTGGTTATGATATTCAAAATTTTTTTTAATTATAATCCTGTCATAAGCCCCTTAAAATGAATACTCTCATTCTTGGAAAGGATAAAATTGATACACCCTTTCTAGATAGCAATTTCATTTCCAAAGATTTATTATTAGGAAATAATTGCATATATGCCTAAAGATACATCTAAGGAAATGTTTGCAATTATAAACTGTTAGAATGACCAATCTAAAATTCTAATAATAGGAAATTTATTGGTTAAATTATTATAGATCTTTACAACAAGGGACTATATTGCCATTAAGAATTATGTTTTAGGAAAATATTTTAAAACACAGAAAAATTCTCAAAATATTAAGTTCAAAAAAGTATATTATAGAAAACAATCCTACATTAATTTTAATACATAGGGATATTTTTATTTATATCGTATTTATGGTTTTCTACATGTATACATATAAAACTAGCAGAGAAAACTAAAATGATATTTATCAAATACTAATGGTAGTTATTTCTTAGTTATGTGATTACAGGAAATCTTTATTTTTTTCCTAATATGTTATTTATACAGTAAACATGATTTGCTATATATATGTGTGTGTAATTCATATATATATGTATGTACATAAGCTGTTCAGGTTTTTTTTCAAATGCAATAATCTGTTTATTCATAGAATTTTTTCATGCTGTTTGAAAGAAATTCATTTTGAAATGTGAGTCTGAGGTTGGGGTTGATAGTCAGCAGATTCCTGGTTTGGTGTTGCCAGCTGGTTCTCTGCAGCTAATCATCAGTGTAGACCTGAAACATCAACCAGTCCTTCCTGGGCCTGGTGTGTGGTGTAGTCACCCAGTGCTCCTGCACCTACATTTATATTTCTTGATGGTCTGAATAGAAAAGAAAGGAAAGAAGTATGCTTGTACTTCTTTCAAAGGGAAGCTAAGTGAGAGAGGGAAGTAAGAGCAAAGGCATTCAACAGGACTGGTTTTGTGCCCAGGAATACATCCTACATTGGAAATACATGTATCATGCACCCATTTTTACTAATACCTGTTGTTTAGGTGAAAAGCCCAGAAGGTAAATTTCAGAAGACCAGTACTGGAGCTGTCAGAATGCAGCCAAAATCAGATGAGCTGAAGTTTGTCACCAAGAACGATGGATACGTACACATTCACCCTTCATCAGTGAACTATCAGGTCAGAATGGCAGGGTGTACTTATTATTTATATGTGACAGGCGGGGTAAGAAACTTGTCCCTTAAAATGAGCCAGCCCGTGTTCTGTCACTTGCTGTACCCAGCAGCACCACTGACCTGGGGAAGGTTGAGTAAGCATAAACAGACTAGATATTGGACTATTATTTCTGGAAAAACTTTCCATTTCAAGAAAATTCTACCAGATTTAAAAAAAAGAAAATGTTTAAGCCTGCTTTCAGATGTATAACTTTTTTTTACTTTAAAAACTGTTTAATTACAGTTGACATTCAATACTATTTTGTGCTAGTTTCAGGTGCACAACATGGTGGTTAGACATTCATATAATTTACAAACTGTTCCCCTTGATATTTCCAGCACTCACCTGGCACCATACATAAATATTACAATAGTATTGACTATATTTCTTATGCTGTACTTGCCCGTGACTATTTTGTGACTGTCCATTTGAACTTCTCAGTCCCTTCATAAAATTATTTTTTTGTGTCACGGAATCTGTGCCTTGAAAGGCCGTGACCTGGACCAGCTGATCCCACACCCTCCACCCGCATTCCCCGCTCAGCCCCGTGCTGGGAGGCCACTGCCCCCGCCGCTCTGCTGAACTCACCGGAGGTCACGGGCAGCCTCAGAGTCGTCCCAACCAGTGAACACCCCCTGGTCCTCATCGCACTAGACTCTCACGTAGTGTTTGATGCGGCTGACCCCGCTTCCTCCTGAAGCTATCTTTGATGTTTTTGGCTTCAACAAAATCACTGTCTTCTATCTCTCTGATTATCCTCCTCTGTTTCTCTAATCATCCTCCTTTATCTCTTTTACCAGTTTCTCTTCCTTTGCTCTGAAATGGAGGTTCTGCCCTTAGTCCTTATTTTCTCACTTTCGCATACATACTCTTCCTGAACAGCCAGACCACAGCAGCATGGTTTGGGCCGCGACCTTCCTGCTGACCCAGACTCCCCAGATCTCTTGCTCCAGTCCTGGGGTTGTGTCTTGAGCTGGTATCTTCTAGTCACCTCACACTCCAAAGCTAAAGAACCAAACTCATTATCTCCCAGTTCACTCTTCTCTTCCTGTGTTCCCTGTCCTGGAATGGCACCACCCACATCCGGACCCTGGAGTGACAGAGACCCTGGTTCTTTTGTCCTTGCTCCGATCCCGTTGGTCACCAGGCCTCCACAGCGCACCTTTGCCTTGACTCAGATTTGCCTTTTCTTCTCACCCCCACTGCCATTTTCTCAGGTCGAACCCCAAGCATCTCTCTTGTGCCTGAAGCACTGTTCTTGCTTCTGATGCCGTCTCCCTCCCACCTTCACACTGCTGCTGCCAGAATTATCCTTACAAAACATATATTTGATCTTGTCCTTCCTTGCTTAACACTCTTCATTTCTGGCATCAGCAGACTCTCATATGACCTACCACATCTGGCCCCTTCTTATACCATGCACCCCTCAACACTCTCCCCCTGTCGTGCCGTATGCTCCAACAAAATGAGATGGCCAGCAGTGTCCCCAGATGCTATGACGTAGGGAGACACACTGCTCTCTGTGCCTGGAAAGGCATTCTCATTCCCCAGCAGGCTCCTACAGACCCTTCAAGCTTCCTTTCAACACCACTCCCCCAGTGTCCTCCTCCACTAAGTTGCTCTTTGCTTCTGTTCCACCGTCATACAGTGTGCATTTGTCCGCTGCTGTGCTTATCACGCTATTTTATGGTTTATGGTATGTCTCTGTCTTGGGACTGTGAGGTTCCTGAAGAGAGGAACTGTGCCATTTTACATTCTTGCTCTCTAGCAGGGTGCTCAGCTGAAAGCAGATGCTTGATAAAGCTTTTAGGACAAATGAAGGAGAAAAGGAGAATGGAAGAAGAGATTGTGGAGTGTTAGGGCTGCTCAGCCCCCTGAAACTACTTAGCCAAGCATCAGCAAAGCATGGAAAGGAGCTCTAAATTAAGCTCAGAAGAGTTTGAGGACCACGGAGTCATCTGCCCTCAGCTGCCTGTACTCAGGAGCCAGCGGCCCAAGTGTGCTCCTCCCCTCCTCTTCTGAGTGTCCTGTGACACTCACGCAATGCACGCAGCTGGGTGGTGCATCCACTCAGCATCTGCAAGCACCTCGTCTGTGCCCGGCGTTGTTGCAAGGCCGTGGAGGGCAGCAGACGAGCTAGACAGACACTAGACAGACAAGGTCTCTGCCCTCAGGGAGCACACATTCCAGTGGGGGAGACAGGCAAGAAATAAGAAACAAATAATCTCAGCTTGACAACAAATGTTACAAACAAAAATAAAACAGATGGAGGGTGACAGGACGGGCTGTTTTAGGGAGAAGGGGCAGGGAAGCCTCTCTGAAGAGAAAATCCTGAACGCAGTGAAGGGCGAGCCGTGCCGAAACCTAAGGGGAGAGCATCGGAGGTGAGGACAGGAGTGCGAAGGCCCGAGAGGCGAGCCCGTTGGGTGCGCCCAGGCAGTGCCGAAGGCGGCCGGTGCACGGGGCAGCGACGGCGAGGGGCGAGGGTGGCGGCTGGGTTGGGACAAGAGGCCAGCACTCAGGTCAGGGAGAGCCTTGTAAGCCATGGTAAGTGTTTGAGACTTTGGGAAATCATCGGAGCATTCTGGGCCCTAACTGGATTCATGTTTTTTAAAAGATCTCGGTGGTCGGTGGGTGGAAAAGAAACAGTGAGGTGCAAAGAGAGAAGCAGAGTGACTAGTTAGGAAGCCAGCGGAGTGGTCAGGACGAGATGACAGTGGTTTGTATGAGCAGGTGGCTGGAAGGGTGGTGAGAACGTGTCAGCACATTATGTATTTGAAAACAGAGCTGTCGAGACTCAGCGATGATGTAGATGGAGTGAGGGAAAAAGACCAATCAAGGATGGCTCCTAAATTTGGGGCGTGAGCATCTGGGTGAATGAGAGTGTCATTTACTGAGATGATGAACACTGCATGGAGGGTAAAAATCAAGAATTCCTGTGAACATAAGAAGTTTGACGTGCTTATTAGATATCCAAGTGGAGATGCCAAGTAGGCAGTTGCATGCACAAGTCTGGAACTCAGGGGAAAGGTACAGGAGAGCCATTGACAGGTGGTATTTAAATCCATGGGACTGGCAGAGGCCTCCTCATTTTGCCAGTGACATCACTGTCATCATCTGAGGTTTTATGCTCCAGGTCAGGCACTTTGACAGCCCCTACCTGCTGTACCATGAGAAGATCAAAACCAGCCGGGTGTTCATCCGAGACTGCAGCATGGTGTCTGTGTACCCACTGGTCTTGTTCGGAGGCGGCCAGGTGAATGTGCAGCTTCAAAAGGGAGAGTTCATCGTCTCCCTGGACGACGGCTGGATTCGTTTTGCAGCTGCCTCCCATCAGGTGAGGGATAAACGGATCTGTCCTATGAGACTCGAGCCATGAAGGGCTTTGATATAATATGAAGCACAGGCATTCCTTCAGGGACCACAGACAACAGAACTGATAAAGAGAGAAGGATGAGTGTGCAGTGAGACACCAGGAAAGACTGAGGGTGCAGTGAGGCCCGGGGCGGAGCCTTCGTGAGGCGTCCGGGCAGTCCACTGGGAGGGGAGCCCAGCGTGGGCTGGTGTGAAAGGTTCGGGGCAGGAGCTGTGAGTGAGGTGTTGAATCTTCCTGAATGTTTTGCAAATAATGTGTTCACCAAAGAAAAATCATAAAATGCAGGTGAACAAAAATAAATAAAAGTCACCCTGATTCTACCACTGCCGTTAACAACACAAAAAAGATCATGGATCTGAATTCTTCTATTCTTTTATTCTTAGAGTTCTCAATTATGCACTCTGTAGAGTCTGTAGAAAACATTTAAAGGGGTGTATATGTTTAATATATAAAAATTCAGTTTAACACTTGCATCTGTTAGAAATCTGATGTTGCAAGAAGCAGAAACACCGCCTCAAACATTAAAGGGAATTTACTGGTGTATTTAACTGTAAAGTCTAAAGTAGCAGAGTGTAATGGAAATATGTGAGCCACTATGTAATTTTACTTTTCCTGGTAGCCACATTTAAAAAAGTAAAAAGAGAAAATTAATCGTAATATATATTATTTAACTTAATACATCTAAGAGTTTTTAATTTCAATACATAATATAAAAATGTATTGAGATTTTTAATATACTTTTTTCATACTATTCAAAATCTGATGTGTACTTTACCCTCACAGCACATTTCGCTTCGGACCAGCCACATTTCTAATGACCACTTACGTGGTCATTAGATTAGCCTCATGTGATTAGTAGCTACCGTGTTGGGCAGCACAGGTCAAGTGGGCCAGGCTGGGCTGACTTAATTTTGCAGCTCAGTGGCAATAAACGCCCGGCTCACCTGGTGGTAGCAAGGTAGCGGCAGGAGCACCAGGCCCACCTTCGGTGCGTCGTGTCTAGAAGGCGAGACCAAAACCTTTACTAAAAGCTCCATCACACCTCCCCTTCCTCAATTAATTCTCTTGGTCAAAGGAATGTCATGGATTCCAAGACTGGGATTACCTGAGCCATGCACCTCAGCAAGGCCTGAGCCTGTTTGATTTAAATCAGGGTCCAAATTGCACAGCTGCCGAACAGTCGGGGAGGGGCAGACAAGCTGGGGAGACCGCTAGAGTGCCACTACAACATCAGCGTAACCAAGATGACATAAAACATGGGAAGCTATTTCTCCCCACAAAAGCATAAAATGTATCCCAAAGCTAAGAAATTTTTTGGTTTAATGTCTACCATTTTTAATTCCTATTTCCTTGCTTTCTTACAGCAAATTATGAAAGCTGACCAAGCTTTAATGTGGAGAACACTAAATAAAAGCCATTCTTTCCAGATTTAATCTATTCTTTAAATGAGATGTGGTAAAGGAGACTTTTTATATTGGACCTCGTTTAGTGCATTACAGAGCTGACATCAAGTGAATGTTCCTATTGTTGCATCAGAAATTTTAGAAGCATCTTTAGAATGAAAGTGTGTTTTGTTTCCACTCCCCCCACCCCCACTAATGAAGTTGAAATTAATACCCAAAATTTAGAATGATTCTTATAGGGGATTTCCCTCAATAACCTTCCCTCGCCTGTTGGACCAAGCACCGCTTAAATTGCGACTTTCATTCTAGGTGGCCGAATTAGTAAAGGAACTGCGCTGCGAACTTGACCAGCTTCTCCAGGATAAGATTAAAAACCCGAGCATCGATCTGTGTACTTGTCCTCGAGGATCCCGGATCATCAGCATGATTGTGAAACTTGTCACCACACAGTAAAGACCAGTCTTAGGAGAGTGCTAGCTACTCACTTGCTTCTCGTTCACCTGGGAAAGAACAGCAGCACTGCTACCTCAAACGAAAGCTCTGTGCTGGGCCGGCCCTGGGGACAGAGCCCAGGGCAGGCACTGCTCAGCCAGCTGAGGCTCCCCGTACCCTTAGGGAAATTTTCCAGACTAAGTATTTGTAACAAAGCAGTGGGCACTCCCAGCACAATTTGGAGTGTCCTGGTAAGGCGGTCTAAAAAGGAACTTGCCTGTCTATGTCCCTGTGACTGTCCTGGAATGAATGAAATGCGCCTGATAACACAAAAGTGAATGTTTAATACAATTCTGCTTTAATCTGTGTATTATGTTTCTCCTGCTTTTTACTGAGGTGAGATAGGGGCATGAGGAGAAATACTGATTGTTTTTTCTGTCATACAGGCTCAACTGAGAGAAGTCAGAACAGAGAAGAAAAAAAAAAATCATGTGAGCAAGAAAAATTAAAATTTCATTTTAGGCTATTGGCTACAGAGTAAACTTGATTTATGAGGGATTTTTATTTTTACTCATTCAAGGTAAGCCTTAAAAAACAAACTTAATGAGCCCTTATTTGTTTTTAAAATGCAAGCTGGCCTTATCCATAACATTCTGATTCTTAATAGCAGAACAGTCTTTGTTCTCCTTTAGGTTTTCCACTTAGAAATCTTTACTCTCTCTTAGCCACTCACCCGGATCAAATGGCCACATTTCACATTAGCCAAAGGGGAATGAATTCTCATGGTACTGTCAGCACAGAGTTGGCCTGCTTGCGGCAGGAAAGGTTGCCATGCTAGTGTCAGATTTACAGCCGTAGAAATACCTTCCATGAGAGTGCTTATTTTCAACCACCACGTCAGTTAATGAGGCACTAGCATTTTGAAAAAATAGGAATACATCTACATTTTCCCTGGACATTTATCAGTGTGGCCAGAAAGAATCCCAAAGAACTGAGTGGAAAAAATATTCTTGCATTTGCCTAACCCTCAGGTAGAGAGTAGGTTGCATACTATAGATAGAATTCAAACTAATCAAGAAAAGCCACCTCAGTGAAAGGTGTTCACTTTTTTAAGATATTACTTTAGTTAGGTTTCCAGGAAACCTCTTAGACTGTCCAAAATGATCTTTATCAAGTGTATTTGAGCTTCAGTGCACTTGGAGCTTAGACTCTTAAGTGTCTTTTCAAGGCATTAATTCATATGACTTTAAATTAAAAACATACATATGCACAGCATGTACAGTATCCAAGTCCTGACTTGCTATTGAAATAAGGCTCATATTATAGAAGTGACTAGGCTGGGACATTAAGGGGAAAGAGAAAACTCCACTCACCCTCTAAAATCTTTTTTAATACCAGTGTTGACTCTCGGTGCTATAATGGAGCTCATGCTGCCCTAGCTAGAGCCACGGGGACTTTTAACACAAGTTTGCCCCAGAGCACACCGCTGGGAGATGGTTAGCAGCAAAACTTCCATACAGAGTGCTGAGAAATTGCTCCCCTCAGGGAAGCCATTCTTGGGCTGGTTATTTGCAGCCACACACAAATGCACAAATCCCATCATTTGATAGATGTACCAGAGTGAGAAAAAGGTTGGATGCCTTGGCTGAAGACATGGAATAAGATCCTCAGTTCCAAAACTATTAAAATTATGAGATATGAAATAAGATTATTCCTTTGTTATCAAAGAGCAAAGCGCAGTAGATAACTTCAGTGTGAAACTGGATTTCTAAGCCCCAACAAGATGGTCAGCATTTAATGTTAACTTTATGGAGAACTCTGTAAATGTTTTCTTAAATATTTGTTTTACTTTTACTGGATTCTAGTTAGAGAACAGTATTAATAAAGTACTTGCTATGAAATTAGTCTGCAGTACTGTTTTGTATTATTTCTAACTGTGTAGTTCTTGGAAAATTAGAAGAGCTAAACATCCTTATAGTGGTGGTCGTAAGCTAACAAAGCGTTAGCTTTGCCTTTTTCCTCCTTGAGTCCATATCTGAGTATGTCAAACTCCCTTACAAGTACTGAACTTCAGTCTTTATCCTCCCATACCTGAGCTGTTTAAATAATATATCAAAGCGCACAGCCTGTGGATCTGTAGGCATATGGTAAATGTTCCCTTTTCTTTCTAGCCAATGGTTTTAAAATGTCCCATAGAGGTTATCATAGCCCTGATTGATGTTGTTCAGTTGGTTGGGTGTCATCCCACAAAAGCGAAAGGTCACCAGTTCAATTCCCAGTCATGGCACGTGCCTGGGTTGCAAGTTTGGTCCCCGGTCAGGACATCAATGTTTCCCTCTCTCTCTCCTTTCCCCTCTCTCTAAAATCAATTTTAAAAAAATAAAAACTTTTTAAAAATGCTATTAAATATATATATATTTGCTAAATCAACTATAAGAAATATGTACTATATGAATAAGCTTATGAATACATCATGTTATCAAAAATAGAGAGTACTTCAGAATTTGAGAACATATATATACGAATGGGAAATGCCGTACACAGATAGGTAGGGATATCTTTACTTTAAAAATATGTCCTACCACTAAGTTTTGGTTTTTTTTTAAACACTTATTTTGAGCCCTGGCTGGTGTGGCTCAGTGGATTAAGCATCAGCCTAGGAACCAAAGGGTCACTGATTCGAATCCCAGTCAGGGCCTGTGCCTGGGTTACAGGTCAGGCTCCCAGTTGGGGGCGTGCAAGAGGCAACCAGTCAATGTTTCTCTCCCTTCTCCCTCCCCTCTCTCTAAAAATAAATAAATATTTTTTTAAGTTAAAAAGAAGAAATTCTAGTTTTAAAAAAAACACATTTTGAAAATGTGAAATAAGTTAAAACATGCCTTTCAAAAATAGGACTTGCATTTGACACTGACACTGCTAACACTTTCCACTTCAAAACTCAAGTTCTCACACTTGGGCCCCCATCAAGATGTTTAAAATACACACACAGACACACCCTTACCTTATCTTTGTGTTATGTTAACAGGAGTCCACCCTACTAGACTTTGTCCAACATACTAAAACAGATAGGGTTAAAAGGGGATTGGATGGGGGTACATGGTTCTGTAGATACATGACTGTAAAGTGTTTAAATTTAACATGAAGCCTTATTAGGAACTACCATTTCTAGGCTTAGTTAACCCTTCTACAGTTTGAACTGGAAAAAAATCTGCTTTAGGACTTCATTATTAGTAAGATTAACAGATTGAATGTCAAAGATGTGTTTCTAGAAGACAGGTTTCTTTACAAATCAGGGGTTATGTTATACAGTGGGCACCAAGGGATTATCCCATTTGAGGAGGAAACTAATCCGCTGATTAGAGATGCAGCACAAAACAATCTATAATTATAGATGTTTCTGCTAATGCTACCCTTCTGTCTCAGAAATTCACCTGTGCATTGTCCCATTTAAACCCCAGCTGTCCCCATTATTTCCAGCCCATAAATCTTCATACCACCCTTTTCTACACTGGATTCATTGAAGCATGTAATCTGATTAGTTAACAAGAGGCTGACTGTCTAGTTTATATCTAGTGTGTGCTACATGTCTAGTTTGAGACCCATATTGTGGCTGCAGAAATTCCTCCCATATTCATGCTAATAATATAATCAGTTTACTTTAAACAGGTGCTATGTGTCAGTCACCCTAGGAATTCAAGATACAAAGATAAGCAGGGACAGGAAAAACAGGATAATAAAAAAGTAAAGTTTGCTTGAATAAAATTCAATCGGGAACATAATATACCCCCTGCAAGAGCCTCTGAAGGTTCTAAAGAGAGGCGATAACTATGTTGAAATTAAAAGGAAAACTGCTAATGGCTTTGATCAAGTCTCAATTCTGTTATAATTTAAAAAAATTTTTGTTGTACTGTTTGTTACTACAGTTGTCCCAATTTTTCCCCGTGTCCCCTACCCCCAAGCCACCCCCCCCGTTCCCACAGTTGATTCCCACATGGTGGTTCATGTCTATGGGTCATGCATTTATGTTCTTGTTTAATTCGTTTTGTTTCAACCAGTACTAACCACTCCCCTCCCCTCTTACAGCAGTCAGTCTGTTCCATGTTTCTGCCTCTGACTCTGATTGCTTGTTAGTTTATTTTGTTCATTAGATTCCAGTTATAAGTGAGATCATATGGTATCTGTGTTTCACCGACTGGCTTATTTCACTTAGCCTAATAGTTTCCAGTTCCATCCATGCTGTCACAAAAGGTAAGATTTCCTTCTTTTTTACTGCTGCCTAGTATTCCATTGTATAAATGTACCATAGCTTTTTTTATTTTTAATGCTTTTTGAAAAGCGGGAGCAGTTTGTTTTTATTTATTTTCGAGAGGAAGGGAGGAAGAAAGGGAAAGAAACATCGACATATAATCTGTCGCCTCTTGCATGCCCCCAACTGGGAACCTGGCCCGCAACCCAGGCATGTGCCCCAAACAGGAATCAAAACCGGCGACCCTTCGGATATCTGGCTGGTGTTCAGTCCAGTAAGCCGCAACCGCCAGGGCTGTACCATAGCTTTTTTATCCACTCATCTACTGGTGGGCACTTAGGCTGTTTCTAGCACTTGGCTATTGTAAAAAACACTGCTATGAACATAGAACTGCATAAGTTATTTTGAATTGGTGTTTTGGGATTCTTTTGGATAAATTCCCAAAAGTGGAATCTGAGTCAAAAGGCAGTTGCATTTTTAATTTTGTGAGGAAATTCCACACTGTTTTCCACAGTGACTGCACCAGCCTGCATTCTCACCAACAGTGCACTAGGGTTCCCTTTTCTCCACACCCTCACCAGCACTCGTTTGTTAATTTGTTAATGACAGCCATTTTGGCAGGTATGAGGTGATATCTCCTGATTTTAATTTGCATCTCTCTGATGGCTAGTGATGTTGAGAATTTTTTCATGTCTATGGGCCATCTCCTCCTTGGAGAAGTGTCTATTCAGGTCCTTTGCCCATTTTTTAATTGGATTGTCTTCCTGCTGTTGAGTCATATGAGTTCTTTATATATTTTGGAGATTAAACCCTTGTCCAATATATCATTGGCAAATATGTTCGCCCATACAGTGAGCTCCCTTTTCATTTTGCTGATGATTTCTTTAGCTACGCAGAAGCTTTTTAATTCAATGTAGTCCCATTTGTCTATTTTGTCCTTTGTTTCCCTTAATTCTACTTTTTAAGACTCTCATCTTATTCAGCAATCAGTTGTGCTTCTATAATCTTTGTGAGCAACTCCTGCATATTTATTACCAAAGGAGAAGCTATAAGGAATAAATGCATGACCTACTCCCTCTTCAAAATGTATTTGGGTAATGTTAAGTAAAAGGAGAGGAACTCAAAAGTATGTGTATGAAAAATTAGCTCAGCCCTGGCTGGTGCAGCTCAGTGGATTGAGTGCCGGCCTGCAAACCAAAGGGTCGCTGGTTTGATTCCCAGTGTAGGGCACATGCCTGGGTTGCGGGCCAGGTCCCCAGTAGGGGGTATGCAAGAGGCAACCAATCCTCTTGAAACATACTGATGTTTCTCTCCCTCTCTTGCCCTTGCTCTAAAAATAAATGAAATCTTTAAAAGAAAGAAAAATGAGTTCAGAAAGGCTGTAAGATATGAGATCATTATACAAAAATCAATTATTTCTATTAGCAGTCAATAATTTTAACTGAAATTAAGAGCCCTGACTGGTGTGGCTCAGTGGGTTGGGTGTCGTCCTGCAAACCCAAAGGGTCGCTAGTTCAATTCCCAGTTGGGGCACATGCCTGGGCTGCAGGCCAGGTCCCCAGTTGGGGATGAGCAGGAAGTGACCAAGGAATGTTTCTCTGGTGCATTGATGTTTTTCTCCCTTTCTCTCTTTCTTCCCTGCTCTCTAAAAAGAAATTAATTAATTAATTCTTAAAGAATGAAATTAAGAAAACAATTCCATACACAATAGGATACAAAAATGCCTAGGAATAAATTTAACAAAAGAAGTATAAGACTTGTACATTAAAAACTATAAAACATTGATTTAAGAAAATAAAAGATAAATGAAAGAAAAGACATTTTAGTTCATGGAATGAAAGACTCAGTATTAAGATGATAGCTCTCCTCCAGCTGCTCTATAGATTGAACACAACCCCTATCAAAATCCCGCAGGCAGTTTCTTTTTGTTTCATAAATTGACAGCCTCATCCAAAATTTATGTGGAACTGCACAGGAACCAGAATAGTCAAGAAATCTTTTAAAAGATCACAGCTGGAAGACTTACATGTATAGATACCAAGTTTTACTGTAAAGCTATAGTAATTAATACAATGTGTTACCAACATAAGGAGAGACATACAGAGCAACGAAACACAACTGTTAGCCCAGAAGTAAACTTAAAATTTATGCTCAACTGATTTTCAACAAATGGTAGTGTAGTATTTCAATATCCTCATGCAAAAAGATGGATTTAGACCCTTATCTCACACCATGCACAAAAATTCCCTCAAAATGGAACATAAACCTAAGTTTAATATTTAATTAAATGTGTAAAACAAAGTCTTTGTGACCTTGAGTTGGGCAATGAGTTCTCAGCTATGATACCAATACCATGATCTGTAAATTTTTTTAATAAATTTTAATCAATTTTCAAAAAAAATTATAAACTTAAGCGGTTCAAAAATGATTTTAACAATACAAAACAATAGACTGAGAGAAAATACTTGCAAATCGTATCTGATAAAGCACTTGCATCTAGAATATATAAAGAACCCTTAAGTAGCTCAATTTTTAAATGGGCAAATTTTTTAAGTAAATGTCTCAGCAAAGAAGATATACAAATGGGTTAACAAACACATGGAAAGATGCTCAATATCCTGAGTCATTACAGAAATACAAATTAAAACTACAATGGGATACTACCTCATAACCACTGGAACTACACCATAATAGTAAGTGCTGGTAAGGATGCAGAGAAATTGAAACCCTCACATACTGCTGCTGGGATGTAAAATGGTGCAGCCACATTTGAAAACAGTTCGGTAGTTTCTTAAAAAGTTAAACAAGTTAATCATATAATCCAGCAATTCCACTCCTGGGTTTTTCACCCAAGAGATATGAAAATATAATGTCCACACAAAGATTTGTTACAAGTGTTCACAGCAGCAGCATTCATAGTAGAAAAAACTGGAAACCCAATATCCATCAACTGGTGAATGAATAAAATATAATATATTCATAATGGAATATTATTCAAGAATTAAAAAAACCACTGATACATGCTACAATGTGGATGAACTTTGAAAGAAGCCATACACAAAGACATTTGTATGATTCCATTTATATGAAATGGACAGAAAAGTCAAATCTATAGATATGAAAAGTAGATGAGTGGTTGCCTGGGACTGAGGATGGGAAAGGGAATTGACTACAAATGGGATAAGGGATGTTAAAAGATGATGGAAATGTTTAGAAAAAAATGGATTTGTGATGATGGCTGCATAACTCTAAATTTACTAAAAATCACTAAATTATACATTTAAGTGGATGAATTTTATGACATGAATAAAGCCCTTTTTAAAAACATGTATGAAGATAACTTTAATTACAAAAACAGTAACTTCACAGTGGGGATACCTACCAGACACCACCTCAACTAAGTGATCAAAGCTAACATCACCAGAAATGGGACAAATTAACATCATGTGCCTCCTGATATGTACTGAGAACACACTATCACTTCCAGGGTGTTCCAATGCATAATGAATTGTAATAAAAAAAAAAAAATTGACCTGTATTCAAAAATGTCCTTGTCATGAGTCAAAGAAAGACTTGAGAAACTATTCCAGATTAAAGGAACCTAAAGAGACATGACAACTGAATACGTAAGCTAAGAAAAAAAATTTTTTTTTTTTTTTTGCTATAAAGGACATCGAGGTAGTAAGTCTGGACAAAATCTGTCTTATAACACATACTGTATTGATGTTAACTTCCTGATCTTGATGACTGTCTTGCAGTCATTTAGGAGAATGAACTCATTTTTTTCATTCTGTCCATTTACTCTCAAACAGTTCAGGAAAAAAATTAACACACTCATACACAAACACAGAAAATGCAAATGTGGTAAAATGTTAACATTTGCTGGGGAAAAGATTTATGGGAATTCTTTGTCCTGTTCTTGCAAATATCCTGTAAACAACATTATGTTAAAATAAGTTAAATGCAGTATTTGTATGCTATAATTTCAGTGTTTATTAACATGTATCCATTTGAATAAAAATCAGAAACCAAGAAACATGAGAATATAAGGGGAAATAATTTCTTGAAAATTAAGATTTTTAAAAAGATAAGAATCAAACAGTTCCCATACTGGAAATAAAGAAGCACATGGGGAAATGAAAATGAAGAAACACAAATTAAAACAACTTTAAAACACCATTTTATGTTCGGTAGCAAAAATTAAAATGTTAATATTCTAAGGGTCTGATGAAATTTGTATATATATTTATTGTTCTTGTCAATGTAAAGAAGCACAAACCATTTAAAAATACAAGGAAAAACTTACATGTGTTCATACTCTGACAGCACTTCTAGGCACTGAAATAGTCTTTGATAATAGCAATGAAGATGCATTCATGAAGATATATTTTGCAGCATAATCTATGATAGCAAAAAAGGTCAACCAATGTCAAAATTTAGAGGAATGTTTAAATAAGTGTGGTTTATCAACACAGTAGGTATTGTTTTAAATATCAAGATTATGAACTACGTTGTAGTAAATGTAGTTTACTACATTTACATACATTGTAGTATGAATTACAATGTAGTAAAAACTACATTGATTACAATTATATAAAAACTTTTAAAGAATTAGAAAGTAATATACAAAATATAAAGCACATATGGGTACAAGACTGACTTTTAATGAAAGAAAAATCTTTTAATTGTGTTCAAACAATGACACCCAGTTGTATAATAAAGAAGGCAGGAGGAAACTTACGGAGGTGACAGGTGATGTGGTGGCTGCACAGCTCTATCTCCAGCTTACCAAGTTGTGTACATTTAATATGTAGAGCCTTTTACATGTTAATCATATCTCAATAGAATGGTTTAAAAAAACGCACTTGTATTTGGCATTAGACGCAATTAAGTATATGTAATTGTAGTCCTTCACTACTGATTTCTCCCAAAATGTAAGCATGAATTACAGCAGCCCTTATTGACTCTAGCATTCTAGAATCTGCTTCAAGGCATCAGTGAAGTTCCACCAGTTCTCATCAAATAAAATGACTGAGAATGTTTTAAATTTCCCACTGATTATTTTTTAAAAACTTAATTCATGGAAAAACCCATTTAATAACTTTTTTAGGAAAAGGTGAAGAGGAAATTGGGTGAACAACAGGATAACAAGAAATCTGTGCAAATGTTGGAAACTTTGCTGTAAGGAGACCAAAAAGAACTCAGTGAAAACCCTAACAGCCTTTGTTTTGAAAAGTGTTCTTGATACCCAGTGTGCTCAGAGACTGCCCTGGCTACTGCCTCCAGCTGGCAGGGAGCAGAGCCAGCTTTGGGACACAATCTCCCTCTTGGCCTCTGAATCCAGAGGAGGCATCTGAAAACAGTTGAGTTAAACTCCTGGGGGAGAATCTTAGCCCCAGGGGCTGGGCAACTCCCTAAGCAGGCAGGTTTCCAAGGCAGAGCCAGATCCTTTACCCTTTGCAGCAATCAGGCCAATTGTTTAAAACAGTCGTAAAGACTCAGTTGCCAAGAAACGGCCTGTCCCCAACTCATTAAGTCAGGCAGCAAATAAATCTACCAAGACCAACGCACCTGCTCCTGGGCCAAGGACCAAGCCCAAATGATGCTGTAAATAACTTCTTAGATGGTTTACTCCTCTCAAAACCTCATTTTGTCAGAATTGTTTCCATGCTAAATTTAATTGTATTTCCTTTCCCCTACTGGCTTTCCAAAGAGATTCCAGGGTCACAAGGAAAAAGGCTGTGCACTAAATTTCCCTTAGAGGATCGTAAAACTTCAAAGCTGTGAAGGAGGGATGCTGTGAAAGGCCATATTTTCTTAAATACATAAACCATATTGTTTCTATCCCAATACTCAACTCTGCCAATGGCTCAAAAGCAGCTGCACATAAAATGTAGTCAGTGTGTTCCCGTAAAACTCATAAATGGAGGCAGCAGGCAGGACTTGTCCCAAGGGTCCAGATTTTGTTTACCCTTGTCCTAGCTGGTTAGGGCCTCGGAGTTCTAATGTGACCTTGTGGCATTCTAGACATGCCCATGGAAAAAACCCCAAAACTAATAACCTGAGGTGCCTTTCTAGGCCAGAAACCTCCACATAAGAGTCCTGGCCCCAACGGGCCCCAGGGGTCAGGTGGAGCAAAGCGCACTTCCTGGACTGCCCCCCCCTACGCCCCCACTCCCTGAAGCCTAACCTGGGGAACGGGCACTACCCGCAGAAAGCACACTGAGCGGGAAGCCTGGGCTTGGTCTGCCAGGCCAAGGAACTTCGTTGGGTCCTGCTGCTGAATACCTGACATTCAACTTCTTTCCTCACAGATACCAGCCCATTCTCCCAAGGCTTTGAGAGTTGATAAGGCTTATGTAAGATTTTTACCAACAGTCAAAACTTTCAAGTTTCAACCAAGTTTCATCGTTGCACCAAACAATAAAAATGAAAAGACACATACAGTTAGTGCAAGGGACTTAATACATTTTATATTGAATATAACATTGCATTTTTTTCTAAATACATTTCTTGCATAATAAAAATGGAGGTATAGCCCCATCAAAAGACAATTCTGATGTTCCTGTGCTAATTTTGTTGCACGTGATATTATCCTTGCCACAGTTCACTTATTTATTAGCACTCACAATCCACAACTTTGATTTTACCAAAACAACAAATCAAAACTCATACACACTTGCATTCCTTTAAAGTCCTGTATTATGATGACCATAACATTCAAACCATTTTACAAAGGAAAAAAAGAAGTCTCATTTCAGTGCATCCATAGTTCTTGGCCTCTCATCGGGAAGCTGCAAGATGTCCTTGAATAAGATCCTGAACACGGGACAGAATAATCTCATTAGAACTGCTGCAGTTTTCTGGTCCATATGGTGGGTCTATAGTCAGGACCCCAGCCACACAGAGAGTTCTTGATGAATCTCCCTGTTCAGTGACAGGGATGTGGTTCTTCTCAAGCCATTTCTTTAGGCTGTTCTTTCTCTTTTCCAGATCCTCAGGATTGTATGCCTTGCAGTCTCCAGACGGGAACAAATGCATCAGCTTCTCTGTCACCCTATGATCCCCTTCATTCACAGTTTCAACATTCTGCACAGCATGTCCCATAATGCCGGTCACAGACATGCTGCCATCTTCAAGGAAGTTCACAAGGACGATACTTTGGAGGAAAAGTAAGGTCAGAGCAGATTTGCAAAAGAAAAGCCCAAAGGCACATAAAACTATGGCAGAAGCAATGGAATGAGAGGCATCATCAGCCCAGCAGGTTACTAGAGTAGCAGGGAGTGCCAGTCCCCGTTTAAAATTAATCCTCTCAATCACCAGATGTTCTCACTGGTTCAGTAAGCACTCATCGGGGGTCCTAAACTTCGAAACTTTTGTCCAACCTAAAGCTAATCATCGTGGGAAGCAGTAAAAGCATTACTTAGAGTTATGAATGCCTTAAATGTGTACTGAAAAGGATACAGGTTTAACTTGTAGAGTTAAAAAAAAAAAAGTGCATAACTCCCCTTCAAAATGAACCAAAGAAAATAACAAAGCACAAAATTAATGAAACAAAACAATGAGAGGGTCATCAAAGCCAAAAGTTGGTTCTTTGGGGAAAAAAAAGGTCACAAAACTCAGCAACGTTAATAACAAAAAAAGATGAAATATATAAATAACATTAGGAGTAAGGCAGTATAAAATATTAAGAACAAATTTATGCCAATAATTTTGAACTTAAAACAAAACTTCCTGGAAAATATGTTTCTACTACTGACCCCACTCCCCCATACAAAAGAGAGTGTAGTAGTTCTATAATCTTTCCATAAAAACCAAATAACTAGTTTAAAAACTTCCCATGATAGGGGTAAAAGACCCAGGCAATCTTACCAGCAAATTCTGTAAGATTTTCAAGGATCAAATCTCTAATTTAACCAAATTCTAGAGACTATAAAAGGGGACTGTGATAATTAAGGAGGCTAATATAACCTTGATACCAAAAGCAGAGGAAGTATTAAAAAATAAAACTACAGGTTAATCTCACTCACAAATACAAGTACAAAAGTTCTAAATAAAATACAACATATGATTTGATGTGATGTGAAAGGAATTTCAGTTCTGTGATACTCTTCCTAAACCCAAGTCTCCTAGTAAGAAAACATCACACAAATCCAAATTGAGAAATATTCTACAAAATACCTCACCAGTACTTTTCAAATGAGTCAACTATAAATTATAAAAATTATAAAAATTATAAAAAACAAGGAAAGACTGAAAAACTGTCACAGGTCAAAGGAGACTAAGGAGACATGATTAAATGTAATGTAGGATCCCAACTGGATCCTGGAACAGAAAAAGGTCATTAGTGGAAAAACTGGTAAATTCCAAATGATCAGTTTAGTTCATTTAAATTTTTAGTTGTGACAAGATGCTGACATTAGGGGGAGCTGGGTACATGGGTATTCTCTGTACTTTCTTTGCAATTTTTCTGCAAATCTAAAACTATTCCGGAATAAAAACTCGGTGTGTGTATGCACGTATCACTGCCCTTAATGTAGTCTTGCAAAAAATAAATCTGATTCTAATCAAACCTCTAGATATGAATACCAGTTTATAGGACATACAGAGGATAAAAGAACATGTTTAACTACATCATGATAATGCAATTTGCTCAGTCCAGAATGTGTTCAATTTTAATCACCTAAGTAGCTTTGTTAAAGAAATTTCCAGGTCCCTGCCTTGGAAACTCTAATCAGAACGTGTTCATTTCTATCAGACAAACAATTCCATTTCTTCAACAAATAAGGGAGCTGGAAAACTAAAAGAATAAAGTGCAGGGTTACAGATTAAGATACTTAAGAGACACATCAACCAAACTGATAAACCAATATAAAAAGATACTTTTGAGATAATCAGGCAAATCTGAACTTCAGACTAGGATTTAGCTAATATTAAAATTATTATTTCTTTTGTTAGGTATTATTGTGCTCACATGTATTAAAGAGTCCCTATCTACTAAGAGAGATATTGTTTACAGACAAAATTATATGCCTGCAACTGGCTTTAAAATATGTGGAAGGAGGGGTGAGATTAGTGTCTGTTAAACCATTCTCTTTACATTTGTGTATGTTTGAAATTTTCCATTAAAATGTAGTAAGAAAAGGAGTGTCTCATTTTTACAAACTTGTTTGGTCTGACAAGGTAATCCATGGTTAGAGCCTCATTTAGATGCCAAGGCAGTAGAATTCTTATCCAGGATTAGCTTTTCACTGTCCACTTTTTGAGACTGGATATAGCACAGAGGCGGCACAAAGGGATGTCATGATTTCAGGGAAGCAGGACCCATACTCACTTGGCAGAGACTGGGTCTGTGGTTAAAACCCATCCTTTGTACTCCTTCTCACTCGCTGTCACTCTGACTTCCTTGTAAGTGTAATCTTGCCATTCTAAGGGACCTTTCTTCATCCATTCATTCATGGCTGCCATCTGGCTAGATCTAAAACAACCATCGATTCCGGTTAATATGTATGTTCCACCCAAGCAAATGTCTTTTTTTTTTTTTCCCATCCTAGAAAACCCATCCTAATCTCCATCTTAGAAAATCATGTGATTCGCCTCAAGTTCCGTATCAGAAAATAAGTTAACACAGTATTTACTATTCAGTCTGGAAGCTAAGGGGGCAGACACCCCGTCGGCGCGGGGCCCCTTCTCGGGTGACTCTTCCTGGCATATCTTAATTCACCCCCAGCCCCTTGCAGGTCGCCTTCCCGCTGGCTTCGAACTCCGGTCTGCTCAAACTCGTCAGCTAGGCTCTCCCGCCACCTAAGGCGCTCCCTCCACACCACCTGTAGCCAAAAACTGAAAAAGAAAACATATCCACCCACTCGCTCTTTGGCTGTGCCTCCAGGAAGAGGCCCGGCCCCCGGAGTTGTCACTGTATCCTCTTAAAATTTGTTTGGAAGATGCATACACATGAGGAAGCAGCAGCTAAGGCTCAAGAGCTCCGATTTCTTGGCTTGGCCTGCAACCGCATGGTACTCTGAGCCGCATCCAAACCGGGTGGTACTTAACGTTTCATCCTCACAAACGAGACAAGTACCAGTTAAAACTGCTAGCAGCACCGTGGACTCGGGAACCACGTTGTGAAGGAGGAATCTCAAGCGGAGCCCGCCTGCGTCCAGCATGCTTTGCGCCATAGCGTCACTTCCTCCCCCCAAAATTCTGTGTTTTGTAGTTTTTTATTTTAGTCAAACCTAGGGGTCTGAGAGTCGCCGGGTTTGGAGGCAGGGTGTGGGTTGGGACTAAGATTTTTGTGTAATAATAATAAGCTTTCTTATTCGCTGGGGCCACTCCTCTCCACTGCCCAGGCGGGCATTTCAAGAAACATTTTTTTAAAGAGGAAAATGCTCGCGCCAGGTCCTCGTTGGTAGTAGAAATGGATTCCACTTTTGCTATGGATTCAAAGCACCTGAAACCGCTAGGTAACTCCTAAAGCTCTGGAAGTATGAGGTGACAGTGCCTTGGAGGAGAGCGACAGAGCCAAGGCATTTCTTGTTTGGCCAGCGTGAGGCAATTGCCGTGCCTGCTCCTTTAGGATGGCCCTGGGTCCACTCCTGCGGAAGTGTCGAATCTGGGAAGAAAAGCACGGGCTTGCGTCCATCTAGCCGGAGATTCGCTGTAAACGCCCCTACTCCCAAGTGGACAAGTGCAAAAGACTTGTCCGCCAGAGGCTTCTGGTCATGTACTTAGGCTGCCCCTGGCATGGTCCAGAATTTTTTCTGCACTGTGATCTTGCAAAATGATACAAGGTGGTAAATGCTGAGTTCCTGCGACTGTGAACACCAAGGGAGATTTACAAAAACCACAATGTAGAAAACACTGGAAATTAATCAGCTTTCCCCTTACTACTTGGGATTTGAGTTCCAGATAACCTACTTATCGTCATCATTTCCAAAACATCCTTCCCACAACCTCCGCTCATTGAATGATTGGCAGATTACATTCATGTGGCTTCAGTGGATTAAATCAGATTTTGTGAGTTAAATCTACAAAGAGCTCATTTAAATACCAATTTTTATTAAAGAGTGAAGGGAAACATTTGACCTCAGAAAAATCCAGGCATTTTGTAACATCTGCTCCTTTACACTTTAAGCCTTCTATCTGTACTGCATAATGAAAGACTTCTGCCTTTGCTATGTATATGTAAAATTTTGCAAGTATAAAATAGCCCCAAGCTTAACTCAAGTTACCCCTTCTAAAGTGATGCAATTGGGCAGTTTCCCTCCCTTTTCTCCCCTCTCCCTTTAGTCTCCTAACTAAAGACTCATTCTCAGCATCTGCTGATGCAAATCACTGATGAAATTCCCTAACACAAGCTCTCAGAAAGACCCTCTCTCCTGCAGCCCCTCATCACTGAGATGAGATGGTGCCGCTTCCTTCCCTCAGTCAACCCCTACCCTTGGTCTCCCTGGTGTATCCCTCCTACCAGTTTGTGTCTCTTCTCTCACATTCCCTACTTTTCTCCTTCTCTTCCCAGACCTTCCAAGGTCTCCTTTCTAAGGTCTGCCTCCCCCTCAAACTTTCACACACACACGCTTAACCTCTTCCTCTGCCAATACCAAAATTGCTTATTTTAGATTTTGGAGTACACTTAGTGTCAGTAAGAAACATTTTTTTTTAAGTTTCTTAAATGCCCTTAAGAAAATCAAGAGTTTAAAAACTGTCAATAGTCTTATATTGTTCACTGCTCTTTATCAGGCACAAAGATAAACCTGGCCTGCCCAGGCTAAACTGTGACAAATTTCAATTCACAGTGTTGGGTGGTCTCAAAAGTAGGTAAACAATGAAGGGGGAATGGGGTGGTAATTTACCATATTTTTATGCAAGGTAAGGTCAGAAAAAAAAAAAGCCCCTATTTCTTCACCCAAAATAGTCATTTTGGGGCAAAGATTTTTTTTTATGTTCTGGCTTTTTCATTTATTCAACAAGTAGAACCCACTAGAAGTGTCCATTTATTTATGTGCATATTTATTCATCAAGCATATATTGTGTACCTATACATGCTATGCTTTCTGTTAAGAGCTAGGAAATCAAAAACTAATTTAAAAAGCATCTTGTCTTTGGGGAGTTGATGTCTCCTTGTACTTGTAAACAGGTAAGCTATCATTCTACCTGGAGGTGATACTAAATGGGAAGGGCTGGGGAAAGAGTTCATTGGTTCATTCTTCCTTGTGATCCTTCCTTCTAGGGATCAAACCAGTTGGTTGGATGCTCCAACTGAACCACTGGGCCAGAGCTTGAACTTGATTTATAGGCAATGATTTGCTCATTTCTATGGTGTAAGAATTCCCACCATGACTGATTTAAAGGTACTGATGATTTAACAGCTGGCTCAAAAAATTTATGACTATTTAACAATGGGTTCTTTCTAGCCAGTTGAAGCTGGTTCCTGCATACTGCTGACTGTGCTCATACTGGCTTTAGGACTTTGGAAGTCACTTATTTGCTTTCTTAGATTTCAGTTTTCTTATCTATAAGTAAAAATGTGGGATTAGTTGACCCAAGAGCCTCTCAGCTCTAAATTTTAATGACTAAGACACACACAGTCACTTAGTAAGCCCTGTAAACCCTCTAAGGGCAGGAACCATGTTTGCTTTATTTACTACCATGTATCCTACCTCTACAACATTGCATAGTATTTGTAAGTGGTACTCAATTTGAATTGAATTTTTCTATCTTTTTTTTCTTTCAAAGATTTATTCTTAGAGAGAGGGAAAGGGAGGGAGAAAGGCAGGAAGAGAAACATCGATATGAGAGAGAAACATCAATGGGCTGCCTCTCAACATGCCCCCAACTGGGGACCTGGCCCACACCCCAGGCATGTGCCCTGACTGGGGATCAAACCTGCAACCTTTGGGTTTGCAGGCCAATGCACAATCCACTGAGCCACACCAGCTAGGGCTGAATTTTTATATCTTAACCAGTTATGTACACTTAATATGTGCCAGGCATTACTTTAAGAACTTTCAAACATTAACTCATTTTATGAATTAATAAATAAACCAAAGAGAATGTGAAAAATTTGAGTAATGGAATGACATGAAGAAATTGGTATATTAGAGAGGATACAGAGAAACTGGATGTAAGGGAAATAGTGAATTGTAGAGCATATACAGCATGAAGTGTAGCCTCACTGCTCAACGAAGTAGTGGTAATAAGGGGGAAAAAATTCCAGAGCTACCTTCCAAATGGCAATCCAGTTGATGGGAGGCACTATCTCCAAATGAATTAGTTATCTGCCCTCCCCAGCGCTGCCCGGAGGGGAGACTTTACAACCTCAGAAAGGGAAGGTTAATTTCCCTAGCAGTAGAATGAAGGTAGAATTGTTTTCCTAGGATGAAAATGCTTTGAACAGACTTTGTAAACTCGAACATACTAAACAAATGTAATGTGTGAAAGTTCAGAAAACTGCTACTGTGTACACTGACTCTCAAATATGCTCAGATAGTATCTTTATGGCTAAAAATCAGTGCATTTTTTTTTCATTGAGTTCCTCTTATTCAATGAAGTAATCAAGCTCAATGGTAAAAATATAGATTTAACGTAATTTCATGTTGATTTGAAAAAAAAAGTTAACCATTTTTATTTTTCCCTGAAACTGTCTTAGAACAAAAAAGGAAGTCCACTACTGAGTTCCTAAAACTTACTGCAGTGGTTCAGACAGGAAATAAAGTCCTAGCCTAAGGTGATGGCAGTGGAAATGAAAAAGAGAAAAAAACTGAGTAGATTCGACAAATATTTCAAAGCAGAAAACAGGATTTAGTGATTGATTGGGGCAAGGGCACGTTGAGAAGGTCTTTGATATTAGGTCTTTCGCAGAAATTCTCATTCTTTTCTTCATGCATAACCCCTTGTCTTCCTCTTCATTTTTTCAGGCTATCAGGCCTCCAAATAATTATATTTACTACATTAAATAAGAAAATTTCTCCATGGAATAAAAAATGTTTCCATAGCTTATCTTGTTGATGGCACAGGAGGCAACACTGAGGTACCCTCTTCAAGCTCTGATAAACCAACCCTACACGTTTAATGAAATGGATGTGATTAGATCTGTGATTCATCTGCACAAAGAGACCATCTATAACACATGTAACCAAAGATTGTGGTTGTTAGGGTGGTCCATGACGCGGGCTGTGAAAAAATTCACAGAGAAAGTGTAGAGAGTAAAGTCTTTATTTAGTCTCCAAGAAAGGAGAGGGGTATGGTGTGGAGAAACACAGGCATTGAGGGGTGGGGGCTTTGGGCTTTTATTAGATTGTAATTGGATTAAAAAGGGTGGGGTGTTGTTGGCCCCTGGGCAGTTGGGGCATTGTAACTGAGGCCGCAGTTTGTTCCAGTGTTATCTTCTGCCTGTGGGCTGTAGGGAGTGGTTAGTTCTGTTCTTGCTCCCAGTCATTTCCAGTCCTGGGGACAAAAGCTTAAAAGGGTAAAACAGCAGTCATGTTTAACAAGGTGATAGGCCTACTAGGCAAATGGTGCCGCAATAGCAAATGGAGCTGACTTTATCCTTTCAGTGGGGATAACTAGAAACTCCAAATTAAGTGATCTGGTTGCATTTTTCTGGAAGCAGCACCGGAATGGGATTATATTTCGGTGGAAGAAAACTTAATTATATTGAATCCCACTGAGACATTTAGTAACCCAGGGTTGACAGCAGAAGGCATAAAAGAAGAAAGGTCAGCAAGCAAAAGATTGAGAGGTATATCTCAGAGACTCTGAATCTGGAAGACAGAGACTTTCCAGAGATGGACCCATAAGGCGAGGAATGGATACTTCATTATGTCTCACCCTGGGCTGGAATAGATATTCCTAAAACTATCCTGTCTATATTCTGATTCCGTGCTCACCATGCTGCCTGTGACTCCTTCCTGGTCTTCTAGGTACATGTTTTATCGGGAGAGATGGTTCTTGAGACAGAAATGTGAGCACTTTCCAGTCAATAGAAAGGAATAGACCAGGAGTCACAGACTAGGGACCACAGGTCATAACAGAACATGCAGTTAGGTTTAATGTGTGCACAGTGTTAAATTTCTTTACAATTTGTAAGCTTTTAGATAGGTGTGCTCTCTCTTCTTCACAACTAG